TACGCTGGTTGACAGACAGTGTAGGGGGCTTAAAATTACAGCATGGCGGGTACAAATCACTGGGGGCCCCTAGGCCTACGTATACGCTCAAACAACCTACTAGTACATGCAGTGCACTCTGGTTGGTTTGTCAAGCCTTGAGCCATTCTATGATCTATTATTTTGAAAAATTCGCATCCTGCATACCTGTCTGACAATAAATACTAGTACAAAAATCAACAGATCCTTTATTTTCTGTTTTGTCATTCTCAAAATTTAGCAAAACAGTGCATTGGAATGTGTATAATATTTTGTACAATTTTTTAACATCATCTTAGATCACTCACCTGCAGCCCATTGTTCTTCTTTTCTTCAACCAGATGATTGATTGCAGCAACAATCGTCTTAGTCTTACAGATGTAGAGATTTACAAATGGTGCTACTCCATTCCAGAATTCAAATGGATCAGCACTCTTCTTTACTCCTTGCTTGTATTCTTCTGCCTCGAAACACCCTCCTGCGATAATGGCTGCACATTTGGTCCCATGGCCCTTATGCTTTTTATCGTCATCATCTGGGACAAAGACACAACCATTAACAGTTAATGTTGTTCTGAACTCCAATAAAAAAAAACATAATTTCTGTCATCTTTCTCTAACTCTAAGCATCTATACAAGGGGTAAATCATCAGCAGAGCTTTCTTTTTTCATTAAGTGAAATGAAACACATGAAAGAACATATAATAAAGCATTTAGGATACGATGGTCAGGTGTACTTAATTTGCATCTAGTTTGATATCAATGACAATACAATGTACCTTGAATAAAGACTAGTACATGTAGTACCAATTGCAACATACTGAAGGTTACCTTTATTTGATTGTCTATAGACCATCAGTTGGAAAGATAAATGTGTCAGCGGTGAATTATACTGCAGTATATATTCATAGACAGGTGACCATGAGTACTTTTAGTCCAGAATCCATCGCAAGAGACTGATTCAGCTGCTATGACAGTCTTCATGGGGGATCCTGGCATTGCTTTATGTTCTCTTTAGGAAGGTTGGCAATGCTTAACGGTAAATTCAGGAAGGCCAGTAATGCAGTACAGTTGTTCTAATGTGTAAAGCTTCAGAGACTGGATAGTTCTTTCACTCATGAAAAACTTAGTCACTCTGTGGACACCAGATAATTTCTTTTTTGATGTTAGGGCAATTTGATGTTCTTGATGAATTTAGAATTCTTTTAACAAATTCATGTAATAAAAATGTGTTCGATTACAAGGACACAGAAAAAACATGCATCTACCCTCTGCTACACACTGTATTTATCAAAATATGTATAGATCACAATCAAAAGTAATTAAGATTTACCAATGTTATCATCAGTCCCACCAGGGATTAAGTTTTTCCCCTGAATCTCCGCATCTGGAATATGTGTGAACGCTTCATGGTCCCTCTTGATGCCAGAATCCAAGACAGCTACCTTCACTGGGTAGTTTTCTCTCCATGTATTGTTATCAGCAATCCAAGGATTTTCTGAAGACAGACAGCTCCAACAGTCTGATATGTGGAGGAAGCCATACTTCTTCCCTTGCCACTTTGGATCCTGAGCCATACTTTCATGTATCCTTATTCCATGAAAAAACCACGAGTTCAACAGACCATCATGCTGCAACTCAGATCCTGTATGGATATCAGAAAGGTAGAAATCATACTAAGAAATATGAAGACCTGCATGCCGTTTTACATTATCAGGGCTGAAATACTGGTTGCACATGCACCTGGTGCACGGCCAAATTTTTCTACATGTGTGCACCAGTGCACCCAAATTTTTGTAGGTTTACGTATATATCAAGATGTGAAATTTTGAGTAGTAACATTTGTAGTATTCAGCATATTTTTTTAAAACACCTAAGGCCACACCAATTTAATTTGTTGGTTCTCGGATTTTTTCAGAAAAAATATGAAGCGACAGGGCGAAAAAAAATAAAAATAAAAACAGATCTAGGCATCCTATTATAGGCTTAAATGCTACGAAATGAGCCATGAAGTCAACACAAAAGGCTGGTTCAAAATTTAAACAATGAATTTTGAACTTCTAATGATACCACTGCATTGAAAGATGGAATAACTGTAAGGACTAGGAAGAAAAGGACTGTTTTCAACTGTTCAGGGCAAAATATGAGCATTTTGCAGTTGATTCTGAATTTTTTTTTTTTTTGCAAATCAGGAAAAAATGAAGAGGCGAATCCGAGAACCAACAAATTAAATTGGTGTGGCCTAAGTGTCAGAAAAACTGTAAAATCATTCTTGTAATACTTTTCTTTAGAAACAAAACATAATTAGTTTTCGCTGACATTCTACTTATTTTATCTAATAATATATATGGCACCCACAGAAAATTTTGTGCACCCAATTTTTTACGTTGGGCGCACCAGCTGCAGTGCCCCCATGCATGTACCCTTTGGGGCACAGAAAGGATAGCCTGCAAAGAAGCCCTAGACCTATCCACCTAAAGCCTGCCAGCCAGCCTTTTCTGTAAACTCACACACCACCCCTCCCTTGCCTCCCCCCCTCCGATAAACTGTGCACTGTCCCCTATGAAAGCTGCCAGGAGGCCCCAAAATCTAATCATTTCCTGCCTTTGTTGCAACACACATAAACTGTTAGGCCACACCGTCTTAATTACCTCCATGAAAATGGAGGTATTGTGTTTGGCGCGTCTGTGTGCGTGTGTGTGTGTGTTTGTGTTTCCGCATATTTGTACCTTCATAACTCCATAACACCTTTATGGATTGTGATGATATTTGGTATGCTGGTAGGTCTTAGGAGGACAAAGGTCAAGGTCAAATAAGGGCCTCCTGGTGGATGGCCTTGGTACTGCAGCAGCACTTCCGGTTTAAGGTTGAGGCATGGCTGAGAGGAATCTCCTTTGTACTTGCGAGCCAGGTTAACAGATCTGGCTATGCCGAGTCGAGGCAGCGCGCTCCCTCAGGGGAATAGGTGACCTATTTCAGGGCAAATGTGCCGCTGTATGGCTGTGTGTTTGAAAACAAACAACCTGTGTTATTACCTCCATGAAAATGGAGGTATTGTTTTTGTTGCGTCTGTCTGTGTGTCTGTCTGTCTGTCTGTCTGTCTGTCTGTCTGTGTGTTAATGTGTCTCCGCACATTTGCGGCCAGCATAACTTCATAACGCCTTTATGGATTGTGATGATATTTGGTATGCTGGTAGCTCTTAGGAAGACGAAGGTCAAATATACGCCTCCTGGTGGATGACCTTGGTACTGCAGCAGAACTTCCGGTTTTTGTATCTTTTGTCCTGAATATGCTATGGTCTTGATTTTTTTGTGGCAGATAGATTGTCCTGTCAGTAATAAGTGGTGTGGGTTTGGTCTCCCTAGCAGCTTGTTCTGGAACTGCAGGGGACTTTCGGGCGAAATCTTTAAAAGCCAATAAGTCCAGATAGAAACAATGTATTTTCATCATTTTTGGTAGGTACTAGTACTAGGTAGCTTAGAGAGAGATGTACATAATTAACTGCAAATTATGCAAATGAGGACTTAATTTGCATAATTAATGAGGAAATTCTATAATTACAGTGTTTTGCATTATAGTACTTTCATACATGTAATGTATGTAATCTATGGCAGATGGAACATCACCAGATACCAATTATGCAAATGATGACCTAATTTGCATAATTAATGCGAAAATTCTATGACTCCTTAGTGGTAAATGATGGGAATTTCATACTTGATACATGTGTAAGTTAATCAAAAGTTAACATCACGATGCATTTATTATGTTAATGTGGAGGTAATTTGCATAATTAAAGAAGAAATTAACATTTACATGTCAAGCCCATATTTCATGGAGGTATGAGATCTCGGAACTCTTGTTTTATGTATGACATCCGCGCGCGCATTGATTTTCGCCTGTTCTCAAAAAAAAAAAGATCACGTCCTCCGTGACTGACTGGCCTGGGTAAGCGACAATACAGAGCCGGTGGTTACTACTCTGGACAGTCTGGCACACAGGAAACCGATGCTCCACGACTCAGGAACTGAGTAAATACGTACAGTGCCCACCCATAAATTCCGCAAAAAGCCAAACATGTGCCGCTTGTCGTATATATATACGTCGCTATGTAATGCTGCAAATTTTCATGGTTTGGTAGCATTTTTATTTTTGGCCGGATTTTTTTTATTCGCCCGCGCGCACTAGTTTGGGGGTCTTCAGAGGATGTTATCCATAAAATTAAGTCGGTGTGGCCTTACATAAAGTTGATAAACTCAAAAGTGAAACCAATCCATCCAGCCTTGAGCCCTGCACCCCACACCATGTAATTACATGTATTACAAAATTCTGTTGCAAGCTGAGGCTTGCTCTCTCTTTTAGGACCCTTTTAGTCTTTACACACAGTGACATATACTGTACACGGCGGGCGGCGCGCGCAGACATAACGTTTAACACTGCTGATATATTTTCCATATTTCTCTACTTCTCATGGAGATCATCATTTGTAAAAACGTGCGAACTTTGGACCCCTGTCGACTACATCGATCGGTACCTGTACCGTTTATACGTTCTGGCCTTCTCCATACACTGTGTATCTTGATACCGTCGAATTTTTCGCAGTACTAGTATATTTAGATCATTGAGATACGTATTTGAAGACAACTCGCGATCGTTATTGCTAAGTGTTAACTTTCTTCTCGTACAAATTATGTAGAAGAAAACGACTTGCCTTTTATACTTCCTCTTCAAGTTCTTGAACAAACTTTCCGCCCACTTTACAGCTTTGCATATATCCCATAATCCCTGGGGATTTTAAACCGCAGCAAAACATCACAAAGTAGTGTTATTAGTATCAGTAATCTTCGTATTTTCGGTATATTTACCAATTTTTACATCAGTATCAATCGTTCCTAAAATATTTATCGTTTAGAAAATAGAGTCGTTTAAGTCAAATGAGCAACAATGTACTGTAATCAGTTTTAGAAATACTTTTGCGTTCTCTTGCCATCATCTTCTCAAAGCGACGACAAAATGGCTGCGTCGTATAATTTCAAGAAGATCACTGTCGTTCCGTCGGCTACGGTAGGTTTATCCTGAAGAATTTCGAGACAAACTTCTTCCCAAGGACTGCTGGAGTGCTGAACTCTGTAGTTTGTACATTAGAATGGTTTTGCACCGGTAGAATGTCGCTCAGAATAGTCCTCCAAATTCACACGTGTGCGCACGCGCGAATGCGCCCCCCTCCCCCACTGATAGGTTCAGAGAAAAACTGCTTTTCGGGGGAATTTTATGCCAAATTTAATAGAGAACATTACTTACAACAAAAAAAGTGAGTCGTTTTTAATATTAAAATGATCTGCCAAAAAGCATTACATTCTAATTTTCTTGGTTCTTTTGCGCATCTTAGTTAAAAATTTGGGGCCGAAAAAAAAGATGTCTGCTTCAGTTGCATGTATGGGCTTGAAGTCCAAATATTTGCAATACAGTACAACAAATTATGTTGCAGGTGAGGATACTAGTGTGTTTTCTTGCTTCAATCCCTAGGGATGAAGTTAGATATAATTTTGGCTTATATGTCTGCACATGTGTTTCTGCTTGAACGTTGAAGGTACCTAGCTTCTGATGGGGTAAAGTCTGCCATCACAAATTTTAATTTGCCTTGTTACATGTCCGACACTGTCATCAAAGGGGGCCCGCATGACCTTTTCAATAGAGCGTAATTGGCCGTTTTATTTCTAAGTAGAGTGTAGACGGATAGCTCTAATTCAACGTACAGTGTAATTGGCACATTTTGCATAGAGCGTAATTCGTGTTTTAATTCTATGTAATGCGTAGTGTAGCCACTTCGTATTTATCGTAAAGCGTAATTGCTACTGTAACGTAATACGTAGCCGGTCTCAAAATTTAGTGTAGAGCATTGTCGGGTTCCCCCCATGCAGGCCCCCTTCAAAGTTTGGCTGTTCCCAGTACAAGTTATAATTGTGCGTACATTCTTTTAACTCCTGCCATTTTTAGGATTTCGTGGACATTGTCCTGTCCAAGACGCAGCGAAAGACGCCGACCGTCATCCACAAGCAGTACGCCATCGCACGGATTCGCCAGTTCTACATGCGCAAAGTCCGCTACACGCAGCAGAACTATCATGACAAACTCTCCCAGATACTGGACGACTTCCCCAAGCTGGAGGTATGTTGTTTCATACAAGAACCTTCTGAATTTTTCACGAATAGATCAGTCAAACCTGTTATAAAAGGTTGTTGTGAATTTGTACAAAGTAGTGCTGCATACCTAAACCCACTTTTAGGTTCAGGTCCGGATTCAAGTCCAGAGGTTTAGGTTTAGGTTCAGTTCTGGACTTGTAAGTCCGGACCTAAACCCATGACATATACAAAACTGCATGTTGGCAACCTTGCAATGTTGTCTGGGTGAAACTTTGGCCACATAACATGGAGGCTGGTACTTGATGATGCCTGATGGCAATGTTTTCTTCATTTTGCAGCAAAGATTTTGCAATCTATGGAAGGTTTTAGGTGGTTTGGAAAGAAAAGGGGTATGTGAAATGGTCTTTTATGGTAACAAGTCCGGACTCGGTTCTTGACTTTTAGGTCTTGAACCTAAACATTCTTACAAGTCCGGATCCAAGTCCAGTGAACCGGTACGCAGCACTAGAACTAGTAGAAGTAGTACAAAATATTTTTTTTGCAAAGTGAATTGCATTGGTTGTTGGACTGTTACAGTACTGTTATTTAGTGATTCCTTGTTCCCTGGGCTATGTTATAAGTTATCTTATTAGCTATATGCCAAAATACAGCAACTTGGGGTGTTTTATCATTAATGTAGGGTGTATTCCAGTAGATTTAAGCCTCCTATATGTGTTTTCCGGTGTATTCCAGTAAATAGGCAGACCGCATTAAAGTAGCAAGGTTATTTCCCTTAATTCTCTATAACCTAGAGAGATGTGATAAAAGATATACGCTGTATATGGGTTTCTTTTTTTTAAAAAGAAGCTTTTTACGTTGTAGTAGATCAAAGATGGATATGATTATATTGCATCACAATACAGACTTTCATCACACAATCATATTTTACAAATACGTGTAAAAGTATTGCAAAATGCCATATTATACAAACGTCTAAGCCATTTTTTGATTGCACAATATCTACATATAACTGTTACTTTAATTTACTGATTTAGATAGAGTACAGCTTATGTAGTAGACAGAAGAATTTATGTTAATACATAATAATGACAGTTATAGTTATACATGTATTTATATCATACCTGGGCCGCAATAACGTTCGATAACGGGTTCCGGACCGGGCTGTACTTTACGGTACGGCCCGGTCCGGAACCCGTTATCGAACGCTTCCATGGTTTCCATAAAACGATTCGAACGCGTTTTGCCCTAACCGCGTGTGCCCCTTTTGAAAATTTGAATACAGAATCCGGACGTTGGAACTGATTTTGTTGCATTTGAGGGTTTAGGGGCACCAACTTTTGGCTCATATTGCATTGAAAGGCGCGTTTTCTTGGGTGGGTATGATATAAATAAAATACAACGCGGTGTATTCCGCATCGCCCTCGGTCCCGGCCCTCCCGCGAGTCGGGCCGATACCTCTGGCGATATGGAATACCCTGTGTTGTATTCTATATGTCTACTTCGTAGCTGCAAGAATTTAGAAATGTGTTTAATCAGGGTTGTTCTATGTTGTTTTGCAGGACATCCATCCCTTCTATGCTGACCTGATGAATGTTCTATATGACAAGGACCACTACAAACTAGCCCTGGGTCAGATCAACATGGCCAGGCATCTCATAGACAAGTCAGTACCAAAATTAATTATACTTTACACGGGCTCGAAATTCATTTTTGGGAATAGCTGCACTGGTGCACCCAACCTAAAATATTAGGTGCACAAAATATTGGGCACAGATCTTACTGCCCCTCTTCTGAGCTTGAATCTAATTTAGGAGCTAACTTCAAAATCTTAAACAAGTACTACAATAAAGATTTCTTTATTGTTCTGACACTTAAATGCCAAGAATATCCTGCATACTATTATACATTTGATAAGTACATTGGGTGCACAGCTGCAATTTTGGGTGCACTAAGGTGCACATGTACCCAGTATTTTGAGCCCTGCTTTACATAATGGCAGCATGGATTTGTTGTTCACAGTTCATGAAAGAAGGGTAAAGCAGGAAAAGAATATCTTACTACATGTAACTCTTAGAAATGTACAGAATGAATCAGATGATTCCTTAGATGATATATAATCATTATGTAATAAGCTATTACAAAGAGCCTTGCAGAGAGGCCGCAGGTACTATTTTACTTGTTTTTGTTAGTGCCTTCGGGAACAATGCCTAATTGCAAATAACTGTGTGGTCCCAATAGATCTGAAAACAGATGTACTGTGTATGAATTAATGATAAAACAGGTCAGTTTACAGTTATTGAAAATGTTGTGAAGTATTCTTTTATACCATGTAATACTCTGACAATATTGTAAATGCATTTACCGTCACAGTGGTTTTATTTTGCAGTAGCGGGGGAAATAGGTTTTTGTAGTGTTTGAAGTTTGCTTATAATGAATATTCTGTAACTTTCAGTCAACTTTCAAAAAGTGTATTGTCCATGTTGTGATTTTGCAGTTCAAGATTAGGCCATGTTGATTTGATTATATGGATGACATCCGCGCGCGCATGAATTTTCGGCCGTTTGAAAAAAAAGAAAAGTTTTCAACCATACTGTAAATCGTACAAAACAGTTGCAAAATGAGCAAAAATATACCATAAGTTACAAAAAAACCATACCAATGTCGTAGAATGCCAAAATCAAACGAAAAAAGATGAGATTGTAAAGAAATGAACTTGAAGACTAGATTATTCACCAAACCATATTCCGTCCCATTTGTTCAACCCTCATGACCACGTAGATTTCATAATGAAAACAACTTTTTTTTTTGCAAAACTTTTTTTTATTCGCACGCGCGCATCAATTTTGGGGTTCCCGGAGGATGTCTTCCATATGATCATGTCAACATGGCCTTACTGCAAAAATCATGAAAATAAAGCATTCCAAGATTGACATTCCTATTTTTAGCAGTACCCCTCCATGGTTGCTTTGATATATTCACATGTACTAAAATCTGCCCTCCATCCCCCCAGTGTTGCCAAGGACTACGTGCGACTGTTGAAGTATGGAGACTCCCTGTACCGCTGTAAGACCCTGAAACGTGCGGCCCTGGGAAGGATGTGTACTGTCATGAAGAGGCAGAAACAGAGTCTGGAGTATCTTGAACAAGGTGGGGCATCTTTTGGACAACTTATCATGTCAGCTTGACTAGATTACAAGCATTTATGAGTATACACTGTTAGATGGTTTCCTTGCAAGTTGCAAGCTGTTCTGTAGGCCTAGGGAAAAAAATGTTGTTTCCTGTTTCAGTCCTGAAAAAAAAGGGTCAGTAGTTAAGGATTAACTTTTTTTCTTCTTTTTTTAATAGACTTTGGCAATCTCTAGTGATCCAACTTATATACAATACAGTTTAAACTTGCAGGAGGACACTATATTTTCAATCATTCAATGTCAATGTTGCAAAAACATTTGTACAACGTTTTATCACTCAGGACTAGTGTGGAGCGAGAAAATTTTTTGTCCTTTGCAGGGGTCCACCCCAAAAAGGCTAGGGTAGGTCGAGAAATAGGAAACACATCTGTTATTTTTCTAGGCCCTATGATTGTATGAAGTAGGAGGCTAAAGTTGTGTTTTGTCCAACAGTGCGTCAACACTTGTCCCGTCTTCCCACTATTGACCCAAACACCAGGACTCTTCTCATTTGTGGGTAAGTCTGGCTCCTCTTTTGTCTATATACAGTTTTCTATGATATAGAGGTAGTTGTTTTGCTTGTTCAGTGTCAAAATTTTTGCCGTCATTTTTGAGTTAACATTAAAATTCTCCCATTTCTAGTTTCCCCAATGTTGGAAAGTCCAGCTTTATCAACACCATCACCAGAGCAGATGTGGAGGTCCAGCCGTACGCTTTCACCACCAAGTCTCTGTACGTGGGACACACTGACTACAGGTATCTCAGGTGGCAGGTAAGTCTTCATGGCTGCAGCATACTTTGGGATTTTATATCCAGGACTCAAAATACTGGATGCATGTGCACCCAGTATTTTGTACCACTCATATTTTCCCCAGGGCCGCACGTTTCGTACCACTCATATTTTTGCCCCAACAGTTGAAGAAAGTTCTTTTCTTCAACTGTCATGGTTTTACAGTTTAAAGCTGGTCCAAATGAGCATATGGTAAGTTCTATATCTGTATAGCTGGTATAACCACCCTTCGGCGAGCACACCAGCTTCACAGGCATGCAGCGCGGCGGCAGCTTGCTATATCACACCAATCAACTTGTTACACCTAACCCTTGAACATCTAACTCTAGACATTGTTTGCTACAGTTGGTTGGTCATTGACTCGTTGCTTGAATGATTACATCTCAGTACCAACCGCGCTTGGGCTGAATTGACATTTATTAACATGATGTCAACTGGTCTGGATGACAAGCAACAATCTACTCTGTTATCATTGAGTCAAGGAAAAAATATGTTGTAGAATCATTACAGTTTGTACATTGAGGTCTACCTCCATGGTTTGTAATATATTATAGGAAAGAAGTGTAGAGTAACATGCATAGAAATATTGGACTACCGGTAGTGGTATTTACCATATGTAGCAATTTAGGGTTAAACACGTCAAAACAAGTTTGGCTGACATAGTCATAGGCAGTGAGTTTGTTCTCCTATATTATCATGTTGATTTGATTATATGGATTGGATGACAAAGTTTGTCAAAAATTGCCTTCATTATGAAATCTATTGATTAAGTCATGAAGGTTCTACAACTGGCTATAAACATTTAGGCATTCTACAACAATAGAATATTATAGTTTTCCAATATTTTTTTTGCAAGGTCAAAAACCTTTTTTTAAAAAACAGACGGAAATTCATGTGTTTGCATACATGTATGTCATCCATATGATCAAATCAACATGGCCTAATATGTACAACCTGATGATGACACTGTTTCTGCCCGTCCGTTGCCTAGGTGATAGACACCCCAGGAATCCTGGACCACTCCCTGGAGGAGAGGAACACTATCGAGATGCAGGCCATCACTGCACTGGCACATCTCAGGGCTGCTGTACTGTATGTCATGGACATCTCTGAACAGTGTGGACACAACCTGCACCAACAGGTAACATCCCTACAAACTAGTGGACTCATCCCAGGACTTATCAGTGGGATGTACCGTTGGCTGTTATATAGGGGTATAGGGTTTATGGACATCTCTGAACAGTGTGGTCACAACCTGCACCAAAAGGTAACACCCCTACAATCTAATGGAGTCATCCTGGGACTTATCAGTGGGATGTACCACTGGCTGTTATATAGGGGTATAGGGTTTATGGACATCTCTGAACAGTGTGGTCACAACCTGCACCAAAAGGTAACACCCCTATAACTAATATGGACTCATCCTGGGACTTATAAGTGGGATGTACCACTGGCTGTTATATAGGGGTAAAGGGTTTATGGACATCTCTGAACAGTGTGGTCACAACCTGCACCAAAAGGTAACACCCCTATAACTAATATGGACTCATCCTGGTACTTATCAGTGGGGTGTACCACTGACTGTAGTATGGGGGTATAGGGTTTATGGACATCTCTGAACAGTGTGGTCACAACCTGCACCAACAGGTAACACCCCTACAACTAATTGATCCATCCTCGTACTTACCAGTGGGGTGTACCACTGGCTGTAGTACGGGGGTGTAGGATTTATATGGATGGTAAATCAAGTAACACCCCTACAACAAATGGGCTCATCCTGGTCAGTGGGGTGTACCACTGGCTGTAGTATAGGGGTGTAGGATTCAAATAGACATGTACAGGAAATCTTGGACATCTCTGTGCACCAACAGGTAACACCCCTACAACTAATGGACTCATCCTGGGACTTACAAGTGGGGTGTACTTGTCTGTTATAGACCTCTCTAAACAATGTGGGCACAGCCTGGCAACAGGTGACACCCCTAGAATTAATGGACTCATCCTGATACTTCCTATTGTACCACTGACTAAAAACAATTATGTATAGGGTTTAATAACGGTTACATTGACAGGTTAGTTTTATGTTATTAAATATTAACAAGCATTTTCTTGAGTTTAAGGTAGTTTCACAAGTACAATGTAGAGACTGAACATTATGAATGGTGCTGTGATGTTACAATGTCATGTTCAGACATCTGTATGATGACAAATGGGAGATAAACTGAGCATCAGTTATATACAGTTCCTAACTTATCTGTACATGTATATATTTACATGTAGTATAGTACATTGTACATCATCGGAAATGATGGACAACCAGGAGTATGATTTCAGTATAATTTATGAAAATCCATTATGACAATTTCTGTTCTTTGCTGCAGGTGGAACTTTTTAACAACATCAAGCCACTGTTTGCCAACAAGGTAATTATTATCTATCACTGTTTATTCTGAGAACTAGATTGATATATTCTGTAGCTGTATCAGTATATCCAGTATAACCGCCCTTCAGCGTAACACACAGGCACGCGGCGCGGCGGCTGCTAGCTATATCACACCAAATGACTTGTTACATTCAATCTTTGCACATTTAATTGCAGGAGTTGTTTAAAGCTTTCTAGTGATGATGCCCTAACTGTGCGTGATGCCAACGAGTGATATACATTTGTATGGTGGTTTAAACTTTAACCCTTTAATTTAAACTTTTAAGTGATTGAGTCATTTATTTTTTTTTACCTTTGTTTTAGCCTCTGATGATTGTCACCAACAAGATCGATGTTATCCGAAGGGAGGAGCTTAGTGAAGAGAATGAGGTGGGCACAAGCATTATATACTTCTGATTACGATATGATTTTTTCCGTATTTCTCAGTGAATTGTCTTAACACATTGAATTTTCTACATTGTAGGTGAGGTGCTGTGATGTAATAACCATGTCAGAACTTTCTGCTGACAAATGGGAGATAAACTGAGCACCAGATTATTATAATGAGTTTATTGCAAGTTCGTGCCCAAGGGCTAATTGCAAACAGTCATTAGGCCACACCAATTCAATTTCTTGGTTAACGGATTTGCCGCTTCATTTTTTTCTGATTTGCAAATAAAAATAAAAATCCAGAATCAACAGCAAAATGCTCATATTTTGCCCTGAACAGTTGAAAACAGACCTTTTCATCCTAGTTGTCACAGTTATTCCATCTTTCAATGCAATGGTATCATTAAAAGTTCAAATTCATTGTTTAAATTTTGGACCAGCCTGGTGTGTTGACTTCATGGCTCCTATCGTACCATTTTGGGCCATAATACGATGCCTAGGCCTGTTTTTATTACTCCGTGAAGGAGGTCAGGACCTCCGGACGGAGTGTTGTAATCGGCTGATTTTTCATGTTCGCAGTCAAAACACTGGGTTCTCTTTGTGTAATCGGCACGCAATTTTATACGCCGTCTGCGGGCATGCCCGTGTTGATGCACGAATGTGTATTTTTGCCGTTGCTGCTTTCGCGGTCAATGTAATATCGCAGACGCACCCCTACAATTACGAGGCGAATTGGAATGGTCCAGAAAAACGCGTTGTTTGGAATAGCAGTTCATGCAAAAAAAGTTCATGCAGATACGGGGTGGTTTTTATAAGTGGTTCCAGATGTTTTTGCCCATGGTTAAGAGATGCCAAGTTTTTTGGAAGATGTTCGCAGCCAAAATGCATTCTTCCGTACGTCGCATTTCTGTGTAATTTCGCATGTGGTGTTGCATTATGTCCGGGATGATGCACGTCTTTTTATTTTTACCGTAGCTGTTTTGATATTGGAGTAAATGCATATTTTAGAAACATCCCTACTTTTACAATCCTGTGGAATAGGCCGTAGGTTTAGGCAGTTGTCTGGTAGCAAGCAGATATCCTGGTTATCTGGCCGCCGGTAGTAACACTCGCGGTGCTTACCGCAACTGTTGGTGGAATTCCAGGCGCGCTTAATTAGGTACAGGCACGGTAAGACGGTTGGGCCTGTCTTTGTTTATAATACTAGACACGACCATGATAGTCCGATCTTTATATGAATGCAATGATTGTGTGTGTGTAATTAAAATGAACTTCGAACTTGAAGCACAGTATCTTTACACGCCCTGGGAGCAGTAATGGTAGTAGAATGGTTTATTATGACATGTCGCCATCTATATCACAACAGTGGCAGCCCGCAGGCTGAATTGATGATGTGATATTACCCAGATTGACTGCACAAGAGCATTATATACATAACCTAAAATCGAGAGTCATTACATACACAACGATCGAAACAATTATAAAATAAGTATATATTAAAATCGGATAAAAATACATGTTATTTATCATATAGGGCAATATAAAAACAATTAAAATGGAATTACGTATTCAGTAAACGAACCATGTGCGGTACAGCACTCATTCTATAACGTTCGGTTCGACACTTGAGAATGTCCAGATTACCAGCAGAACGAGTCTGTCGGCAAGTAATGTTCATTCTGTAGGCGGTAGTAGGTGGCGGTATTGTTCAGACACAAGGAGTGATTTCGCAAACTTTAAAGTCAAGTTCGATCGTCTGGAGTGCAGAGATGGCAAACCGAGGTGTAAGCATGCTTCGGAGTAACGGGTGTAGTCATGTCCCATAATGATGCGGACCGCCCTACGCTGGATTCTCTCAATCTTATTGTTCAGCAGTGTTGTTAATCCCGGGTGCCCGACAGGGGCTGCGTACTCGGTAATGGGTCTTATGTAAGAAATGTACACAGTGACAAGGTCATCCTTTGCGATATGGAAATGCTTCAGTCTACGTAACAGGAAAAGTCGCTGACTAGCTTTGTTGTAGACGAAGTTGACAATGGATTTAGCTCTTTGTATGTTTTATGCTTGTGACGCGCCCTCATTGTATTAACCGTTGCGTCTGCACAGTAGGTCTGGCGTTGACGCTTGGGATTTTGTTGAAATATATAAAACTTCACGGAGGATTGTCACCTATGGCTTCTTGTTTTTATTTTTTTTTCGCCCGCCCGCTCCATTATTTTTCTAGAAAAATCCGTTAACCAAGAAATTAAATTGGTGTGGCCTTAACAAAAGCAATGAATACAGAATGTGGTGAATTTAAGACTATAATTATGCTAACATGGAGTCCTACTTATACAGTCTGCTTATTTAACTTACTATATCTACTTTAAAACTAACATAACATTGGTATACATGGTAGAGAGTGGATATGCTTCCCATCAATAGGAGACATGGTATTACTGCTATTCTACTAAGTATACTATTCTATGACCAGAAGATTGACTTTGCTGCCCTGAAACTGCATTAGATGCATTAAAGTTTAATGTTAGACTTGTGATTATTATTAAGATTTCTAAACAGTTTCTTTCCAAGTTTGCCCTGAACATCTTTGAATGTTCTGTTTAATGTGTTTTCAGGCTCTTCTGGCAGATTTGGAAAAGGAAGGCATCCCTGTAGTTCCCATGAGTACTCTATCTGGGGAAGGGGTCATGGAGGTCAAGAACAAGGTAATATTATGGGTTAGAACCTACTAGAACATGCGGTCTCACTGTAGTTATTCCATAATGACATAATATATATGATTGTGTCGTAATAGTTGGTGTTAGTCTTATCTAGCTGGATTTTACATTCTATAGGTTATAACTAGTTTCTGCTTGAATGATTACATCTCAGTACCAACCGCGCTTGGTCTGAATTGACATTTATTAACATGATGTCAACTGGTCTGGATGACAAGCAATGGAAACTATAGTTTGGAACACAGAAAAGTCATGTTGCAGAGACAGTTTTTTGTTCTCTGTGCTGTATTCTAAAACGTATGTATTTGTAGTCACATCAGCTTATATGACAAATAAGGCTACATGAAAAAAAAAAAATTCCAAACATGTGAAAAATCACAAGACGTGGACAGGTGATTGCACAATTTTTTTTCCAACTTATTTTCATACCACTACCAGCACAGAGGACATTATAGTACTCATTTGCACCTGATTGAAGTGAGGAAAGTTGTTTTAAGTGCCTTTCCCAAGGGCACAAGATTGGTGGCATGGCAGGGTTTGAACCCAGGACCTCTTGGTTTCAAGTTAGACACTCTTCCGTTCCGCCACACAACCCCACTCAATTTTTTTTCTAAGAACATATTAACGATAAAAAAATAATGGTGTACAAATTATGAATCCAGTAAAGTCATCTTCAGTTTCTCTTGCTGTCTAGAATTCAATGGGTTAAGTTGATTTTAACTATAAAAGTCCCCCCCCCCTCCTCCTCCAGGCCTGTGACCAGCTGCTTGCCTACAGAGTGGAGAATAAGATGAGGAGTAAGAAGGTGAACTCGGTGCTGAACCGGCTGCACCTGTCTGTCCCGCAGCAGAGAGACGAGAAAGTGCGCCCACCCTGCATCCCTGACGCCGTCTTACAGCGCAGGGCCGCCATGGACACAGACAAACCCAAGAAAAAAACGGTACATTATTCTTATTTCATTCTGATCCATTCCTTGATTTTCGTGCTTTTGACCTTTGAATGGCTAGGACTTTAAGTATAGGACTATGACTCTGTTTTGACGTATCAGACTTTTATGTTTACTGTATGTTGTCCACTCTTGTCTTACTATATGTAACAGTGTCTTGTGTAATTTTGCTGGGCCCCCTTGGAAAACAGCTAATGTAAGCTGAATGGGGCTACCCAGTCGTCTTAATATGATGAAATAAATAAATAAATATCCCAAACACTGGATTGGATGTAAGGCCTAGGAAAAAAATGTTGTATTTCCTGTTTCAGTCCTGAAAAAATTAGGGTCGGTAGGTACTGTAGGGATTATCTTCTTTTTTTTCGACTTGAGTGATATCAAAACAGGGGTCCAACTTGTACAATACAGTTTAACAAAGTAAAACTTGCATGAGGACACTTTTATTTTCAATATCAATGTTAGACAGCCAATTGAAACATAGTACCACTCAAGTGTCAGATCATGGAGCTAGAAAAGTTCGATCAGCTTGAAAAATTAATTATTTATGTCCCTTGCAGGGGTCCACCCCCCAAAAAAAGTCTAGGATTAGCAGGTTTTTCTAGAGTTGGTCAGGAAACACAACATTTTTTTCCTTGGCCTAATCATGTGAAATCCTTAGTTTGTTGTTGTTAACAGTGCAAATGTTTATGCAATTTGAAGTGACAGATTTCATATTATTAAGAGCATATTGCTATGATGTTATCAACAATTGTCAGAATGTCATTGAAGACAACTTGGGAGATAAGCTGAGCAATCTTTACTTTTTTCGTTTTTATGCAAAAATACTTAGACTTCTTTCAGTTAAAGTCAAGTTCATAATACATGTACATGTGAATTAAATCTCTTACATATTTTATTTTTTTTGCCCACTACCCACTCTACAGGAAAGAGACCTAGAACTGGAGTTGGAGGAAGACTATGTCTTTGACATGAAGAGTAAGATTCCAAACTATAACTTATATTAAGAAAAGACCGGTAAACAGTAAGGTACATTGTAAACCATTTTAGGAGACTTAGTTTTGACTGTCGAGTGTAAAAACATTAAATTTTTGCTTTCTCATGATTCTGTGTTGCATGTACATCAAATCTCGTATCAGTCCAATCTGATTCATAGTTAACAAAATGTTGAGTACATGTCACCTTTTGTTTTTTCCAGAACGCTATGATCTGAAGAACCCGGAGGAGAAGTATGATCCTATACCTGAGTTGTGGGAGGGGAAGAATGTAGCCGACTACATTGATCCAGATATCATGAAGGTCTGTATCTAACACAGTTTGAGCAAAAATAACCAATGGCCTTACTGTATTTTGTCTAACAAGATCACTAATATTGCCTTTGCTGATAAAAGCCTTTGCTGATTTAAATCAAGGTCATGGAAGGATCATTAGCTAAGGTCACACCAATTTGATTTGTTGGTTCACGAATTTGCCCACATCATTTTTTTCTGATTTGCAAAAAATAAGCAAAACATTTCAGCCTCTGAACTCTAGATGCTCATATTTAGGCCGCAATTGCCCTTCTCTTCAGAGTTGTTACAATTTTTCCATCTATCAATGCAGTGGTTTGATATAAAGTTTGAAATTCTTGAATTACATTTTGTACAAGCCAGCCTGGTATGATGCCTACATGTAGCTCTGTTTTTATTCTTATTTTTTTTCGCTCAGTCACTTCAACTTTTTTTTCAACAATTCAAGAACCAACAAATAAAATTGGTGTGGCCTAACAAGGGAATAGTATCATTATAGCATGGTATTAACTGTCCAGAATACATGTACATACTTTGAATCTTCCTCTAAATGCATAGGGGTGGTGCCCATCTCCATTTCTGTAGCCCTTGAGTGACACACTGTTGTGCAATGCACTACAGCAGGGGGCTGGTCCGCTGGTAGTGCTGTGTGTTTGACCTTCCCACACTCTTTCTCATATGTGCTGAGTGAGAAAGAAGTGTGTACCATTTTTAAAGTCTTTGTTAATTAATAATGACCTGGACGGGGTTTGAACTCACAACCTCCCGGTTACAAAGCGAGCGCTCTACCAATTGAGATATTGCACCGGTAATATAAACTTAGGTGTCAGATATAAGAGACACATGTTAATCAGAAATACAGAAACTCAGGGTTGAGATGTTGATCCTATTGTTTGTTTGTTTGTTTGTTTGTTTGTTTGTTAGAAACTGGAGGAGCTTGAGAAGGAGGAGGAGATGAGAGAGGCAGCAGGGGAATATGACTCTGACATGGTACAAAAGCACACTCATTTACAATTGCAGAAATATCTCTTTTTATATTTAATAAAATGTAGATCTGTTTCACCCTTGTGAACAATTTAGATTTGAGCATGCAGCGTGTGCAACAGAATTTCAAGCTCTGAAAAAAAATCAGCATGACTTATCCTAATGGTACAGAACAATTTCTTCCACATGTTTTTTTCATGTACATGTATGATAGTTTATTGTTTCTCTTTTGCATTGTACCACTGACATACATGTCTTTACGGAGAAAAGCTTCATCCTCCAATGAGTAATACTCTCTAGAGCTTACAAATCATTTAGTATGCAACAGAATATGAAGTTCAAATGGTTGGTTTTTATGGAGTTATCAAGATTTATGTGTTTTTTTACAGTCAGATGAAGATGAAGAGACCAGAGAGATCAGGAGTATGGCAGCCAAGTAAGTTCAACTTTTGAAATACACTTAGATTAATTTTAGCTGAACTTCCTACTTTAAATCTGTCCTTTCAATGGCAGCCATTTGGTATTTAATTTGTATTCACTACATAGGATACAATATTTCTTACCTTGGTGCACTGGCTAGCATATACAAATGCCTTGCAAGCAGAACACGTGTTAGTACAGTCTTATGTTATCTGTTGAATATTGAAACAGTTTCTAATTCTTTAGTGGCGTCGTGGGGTGTAGTGGTACATCACTGGACTATGAAATGGGGAGACCCGGGTTCGATTCCGGGTCGTACCCGAACAAGTCCGAACATGCGCCACGACGTTGTACCCTTGGGAAAGGTACTTTACACGACTTTCCTCACTTCACTCACTGACAGGTGAAAATGAGTACCTAGCTTTGGATAGGGACATCCCTCGGATAGGACGTTAAATGGAGGTCCCGTGTTTGGGAGAGCCACACCCCACACACGTTAAAGAACCCACCACACTTATCAAAAAGAGTAGGGGACCTTCCCGGTGTGAGTAGTTCAAACGTTACGGTCTGGTCTCAGGGTTGACATCTTGAAGAGGTGATAGTCACCTGTTATGTCAATCCTTCCACAAATGTGGTAAATCGTCATAAATAAATAATGATTTATTTTGTTGGTCTTCTTAGAATTCGTAAGAAAAAGAAGCTGATAAAGATGGAGTCAGACATACGCAGGAAGGTTCAGAAACCCACACTACCCAGGGTCGCCAGGAAGGTAAGATTGTTTGTTTTTTTTTATGTTAGGCCACACCAAGTAAATTTTATGGATGACGTCCACGCGCGCATTGATTTTGGCCTGTTCCTAGAAAAAAAAAAGAAATTCCGCTTCCTGTAACTATGACCAAAGAGTGACGACAGTGCCACAAATCGTTAGATTGACGTGAAACCCGTAACGCGAAATGGGTAAAGAGCACATGCTTTGTTTCTGCAGGCCTGCAAAAAAGTGAAAGAAATAGGACAGGACGACAACTGCTGTTCCACCTGATTTATTGCTGTTTTGATTATGAATAAAAAGACTTCTTGCTTGTTAATCTGTGTCACCTCATTCAATTTGTGTCCTAACATTTGTCATCTCTTAGTATATTTCTAATCTAGGCATCTTGTTTTTTAGGGCCCTTCTTGTTTTTTTCTCGCTCTCTCGCATTAGATTTAGGGTCTCCAAAGGACGTCATCCATAAAATTTACTTGGTGTGGCCTTAAACCTTTGGGTACTTGTGTCACTTATGGCTCACAAACCTTTGTTAATTATGATGTTAAATCTTGATTTAAGTTTATTTTCTTTGTTATATAGCTGATTTTATTGTTTCTGTAGTCTGGGCCCCATTGAAAATCAATTTGACAAAATCGAATGGGCCACCCAGCTGTCTGAAGATTAAATATAGATGTCTATAGTGTAATAAGACCCATTTTATTGAGTTTATAAAGGCTATTCTTTCTTAAGTCCTTTCCACTCTCTACAGCATGCACAGCAAAATCAGGTGGTTCAAAAACAGATTTTGATAGTAATTTACTAAAAATAAGGAGGAAGGATTTTAGGATTGAACTGTTTCTAAATGGCATATGATGCAATGGTGATGCAGTTATACTTTCAAAGTTTCAACTCAATCAAAGCTAGCTCTTTTATGGAATTAACCAACACATATGGGCTTTCATGCTAAAATGATATAATTGCTTGGTGAGCAATGTTTTGATTGTGTTGAACGAAAGTATCAACTTCATCATGATGTAACTATGTTTTCCCCATGTCCAGGACTATAATGTGGGTGAATTTAAGTCCCAGATGGAGGAACTAGGGGTGGACATGGCAGGCAAGGACAATGTGAGTGTGCAGCTTACATCAACTTTTGAGAAACTTTAGGACATTTTAAGTTTTTTAAGTAATTTTAAGTACCATCAAAATCTTTAAACTTCCGGGGAAAAAATAAGAAATTTTTGCCTCTAACAGCGCTATAGCCAATAATTTAGGCGCACAGGAGGTTTGTGTTGTAGTCTAATTCAGGCTAAACTTAAGTGTTATTTTCTTGCAGAATGATTGTTGCACTTGTAACTGTAGACATGTCATAATTGTGGCATTTTGTGTGTACATCTCAGGCCCACTTCAAGCGAGCCCGCAGTAAGACTCCCACAGGCCTGAAGAGGAAACGGGAGCCCTCAGCAGAGGCTGGGAGCCGGGCTAGGAGCAGGAGTATTCCAGCTGGAAAAGTACCCAGAGACAAGTCTGGAATCAGGGACCCACAGGTAAAAAAATCAATCAAAACAAATGTTAAAAAAAGTAAATTATACATTATGCACCATTTACATAGTAAAACGAAAAAATTTAAACTGATTATGCACAACTAAAAAGTTTCAAGCACATAAGTTTTCTTCTGCCATGTTCTAAATTTTTACCCTTTACAGTATTTGCAATTTGTTTGTATACAAATGACATGTATTTTTCACATGTACTCTTAAAAATTCTCTCACAATTTGAAGTAAGCAGGGTTTGCCTATGAGAAAAATTTGACTATTTAGATATGTGTACCAGATAGAAATTATGTGTAGATAGCATTCAGCACCCAAGGACAGGCATGCTAATGCATAAGTGTGGATATGTGTGTGGATAGTGTTCAGCACCAAGGACAGGTGTACTAATGCCTGTCCTTTACATTAGCCTACTTTGCTAATGCCTGTGTGTGGATCTGTGTGTGGATAGCATTCAGCACCAAGGACAGGTATACTAATGCCTCTGTGTGGATATGTGTGTGTGGATAGCATTCAGCACCAAGGACAGGTATACTAATGCCTGTGTGTGGATCTGTGTGGATAGCATTCAGCACCAAGGACAGGTATACTAATGCCTGTGTGTGGATATGTGTATGTGGATAGTGTTCAGCACCAAGGATAGGTATGCTAATGCCTGTGTGTGGATATGTGTGCATGGATAGCATTCAGCACCAAGGGCAGATATACTAATGCCTGTGTGTGGATATGTGTGTGTGGATAGCGTTCAGCACCAACGACAGATATACTAATGTCTGTGTGTGGATATGTGTGTGTGGATAGCGTTCAGCACCAAGGACAGGTATACTAATGCCTGTATGTGGATATATGTGTGTGGATAGCATTCAGCACCAAGGGCAGATATACTAATGCCTGTGTGTGGATATGTGTGTGTGGATAGCGTTCAGCACCAAGGACAGATATACTAATGCCTGTGTGTGGATATGTGTGCATGGATAGCATTCAGCACCAAGGACAGGTATACTAATGCCAGTGGGTGGATATGTGTGTGTGTGGATAGCGTTCAGCACCAAGGACAGGTATGCCAATGTATGCGTGTGCTTTACAATTCTTTTCCAATGAGGAAACTTCAAGACTTTTGTTCTACCTTTTCCAGACCCAACAGAAGGCCAAGGTCATTGCCAAGAATGCCCAGAAGAAGATGAACCAGTTTGGAAAAGCCGGCGAGTCGGATCGCTTCATCGGAACCAAGATGCCCAAACATCTGTTTGCTGGGAAGAGGAAGCAGGGCAAGACACAGAGGAGATGAGGAGGCTGTTGGCCTTTCTGGTGTTTTCATGGATCTCATAAAGAACAGGGACAGTCTCTACAATTGAGATGGAGAATATATTAAGAATACTGTTAAAAAGATTCAAGAGTGATATAGTGCTGTGTACCGGTTCACTGGACTGGTTCTGGACTTGTTTAGGTTCAAGTCCAAAAAAAACTAGAACCAGTTCTAGACTCATTACAAAAAACATGTCACATACCCCGTTCTGTTCGTTCCAAACCACCTAAATCTGCAAAGTCTGTTCTACAAAATGAAGAAAACATTGCCATCGGGCATCGTCAAGTGACGGCCACCATGTTATGTGGCCACAGTTTTGCCCAGACAACATTGCAAGGTTGCCAACATACATTGTATATTTACATGCAATTTTGTATATGCCATGGGAATAGGTCCAGACATACATGTCCGGAACTGAACCTAAACTTTTGGACTAGAATCCGGACCTGAACTTAAATGTGGGTTTAGGTACACAGCACTAGAGTGATATCTAACAATTATGGAAGTCAAAATGTATGCATTTTTTGTTCACATGTTTTGGAGAATTTCATGTCTTAGATATCATGGATCTCTAAGGAACAGGAACAGTTTCTACATTTGAGATAAAGTATATAAAATGTATGCTGTTGGAAAGATTAAAAAATGATATCTAACAATAATTATTATAAAAGTTGAAATGTATGCGTTTTTCGTTCACATGCTTTGGAGAGTTTCATATCTTCATTATATTATTTAATATCAGTCTTTAATGAAAACTATGAAAAATGACTTTCATACTAGGAAGAAACTAGGAATGACAGCTTAATGTTTTTCAGAATAATACATGTAATTTGAGGCAAAATTTCTTGTTGAAATACATGTTGACTACTTCTCTAGAAGGGGGAATATCATTTACATATAACAGTGTCCAGTTTAATTCCGGAATTCCAGTTTAATTCCGGACTAATTCCCAACCTTACGTCTAGATGGGCTAATATTCTAAGATATAGGTAAAAATGATGTAAGAAATACGTAGCAGCCATCGGTGACCCCTTGGGAATTAACCCAATTCTGCAGAATTCTGCAGAATTCTGGGAACTGGAGCCAGAATTCTGCAGAATTCTGGGAACTGGAGCCAGAATTCTGGGAACTGGAGCCATCTAGACGTAAGGTTGCTGAGATATGGGAATTAGTCCGGAATTAAACTGGAATTCTGGAATTAAACTGGACACTGTTAAAATTAATCGGTGACCCCTTGGGAATTAGCAGAATTCTGGCTGCAGTTCCCAGAATTCTGCAGAATTCTGCAGAATTCTGCAGAATTGGGTTAATTCCCAAGGGGTCACCGATGGCTGCTATGTATTTTTTACATCATTTTTACCTATATCTTAGAATATTAGCCCATCTAGACGTAAGGTTGCTGAGATATGGGAATTAGTCCGGAATTAAACTGGAATTCCGGAATTAAACTGGACACTGTTATATGTACATATACATTGTACTTTACTAAAGAGTCAATGTTGGCTTTGAAGTATTTACCATTCAGAAAATGGTATTTTGGGCTGGCATAACTTAGTATAATGTAGAATCTGTGTAAAGATACATGTTGTAAGAAAGAAGGCCTGAATACTGGTATACAATGTACATTCAAGCAGGTAGATACATGTACTGTACAGTAGGCCCCAACTCATGCATTCATTAGTAGTTACAGGATTGTCATTTCCCCTTAAATATTACCTTAGCATGGATTGTATTTTCTTTTTTTTTAGACTAACAAATTTGTGATGACCCTGTATGAAATGAGGATCATTCTTGCTAACAAAGATTCCTGGTGTGCATAATTCAGACATAAAAGAACTAACATGACAATTACACCAAACACTTTAAAATATCTGAGCCTCAAACTCATAACTTCAAACTCTGTAATCATTCATCTTCAAGATTCAGCAGTAAAAAAGGAATTTATACAAAAGCTGACTGGTTGCCAGTGTCAATCTTTCACTAGTTTTGTTCTTCCTTAGTATGGAGATATTTGATGCTGACTTTGGAGGTAACACAGACACTGGTAGTAGAGAAGGGGATGCTGTCCACTACTGACTCCCATTGCTGATTCCCACGGTCATACCTGTAGGAACAAGCAAACATCTGTGAGTCATTGTATATTGTGCAGATGTAACCCCCATGGAAGAAAAAAGAAGACATTACAACAGAACGTATAGAAACAGACAATGCCACAGTTGAGCTTTGGTACATCTCACACTCAGAAGCCAACTCATAATGTCACCTGAATATGGATAAAATAAAATTTATCGAATTCACAGCTGTCCTTTTTGTTTTGTTTCATGCTGTTCTTGATAACCTTTAAATATGTCCTCAGTAGTTGTGTGTGCATGACAATATGATCTTTACACATCTTCTACATGTATATGTTATTGGAGTTTAAACAAGATGCAGATTTATTATTCATAAGGGGGTAAAAGTACATGTAACATGAAAGTAAATGATGGATAAGGCCACACCAATTTAATTTGTTGCTTCTCAGATTGCCCTGTCCATTTTTTTCTGATTTGCAAAAAAAAAAAATTGGGGGGGTTCTGAATTAACTGCAAAATGCTCAATAAAAGACATATTTTGGCCCCAGCGGTCATTTTCTTCCCAGTTCTTAAAGATTTTACAATGTAAGAATGAAATTTTGTTCCATTAAAGGTTCAAAATCTATTGTATTAATTATAACCAGCCTGGTATGTTCTCTTCATCGCTGATATTGTAACATTTCCAGCTATCATCTGATTCATACCTTGGCCTTTTTTTTTTCTAAATTTCGCCCTGTCGCTTCATTTTTTTTTTCTGAAAAAATCAGAGAAACAACAAAATAAATTGATGTGGCCTAATAAATAAATATATTAGGCCACACCAATTTAATTTCTTGGTTAACAGATTTTTCTAGAAAAATAATGGAGTGGGCGGGCGAAAAAAAAAAAAAATAAAAACAGGCCTACGTATACCCTATTATGGCCCAAAATGGTACGATAGGAGCCATGAAGTCAACACACCAGGCTGGTTCAAAATTTAAACAATGAATTTTGAACTTTTAATGATACCATTGCATTGAAAGATGGAATAACTGTAACAAATAGGAAGAAAAGGACTGTTTTCAACTGTTCTGAGCAAAATATGAGCATTTTGCAGTTGATTTTGAATTATTTTCAAATCAGAAAAAAATGGAGCAGGCGAATCCGTTAGCCAAGATATTAAATTGGTGTGGCCTTAAGGGGTAAAATGCTGCCAAAATATGAGAGCTTTAGAATGTACCTGATTTGGCACAAACATAATTATTCAGAAAAAAATTAATTACTAATAGGACACTGGAGGAGTGTTACTAGCTGCATTTTCAAACTATATGTAACTTTGTGTCACGTAACACTTAGCTGATGGTTTTTCATCTCACCTCCAGAGGTCATGAGCGTTCCGTAGTGACCAGGTACCCTGTGGCCTATGAACTATGACCTGACCTCCACAAGCGTACAGCTGACCCCCGAGTACGGCCAGTTTAACAGACTTTCTGTCCTGGGGAAAGTCTGGGAGATACCGCCATCTGAAGACAGAGAGAGAACATTAACAGTACTATGATATCAGTTTTCACATTTTTGTATCAAATCTGGTAGCAAGGTGTTGACTTATTAGATTCTGAAGGTTCTGGGTTCAAATCTAGCCTCCACCAGGCCCTTCTACGGGAATATGGATCGTAGAATTCGGCAAAAAAAGAGTTAAATTGGCCAAGGGACTGTCTGGCCGCGGGGAGGTAGTTTCTTTCCCCGCTGCCAGTCAAACCTACAAGGTGGCCACACTCCCCTGGCAAATATTCTCCTACACCAATTTAATTTGTTGTTTCTCGGATTTTTTCAGAAAAAATATGTGAAATTAAAAAAAAACAGGCCAAGGCACCCCATGATAGCCGGAAATGCTACGATATGAGCCACGAAGTCAACATACCGGGCTGGTTTATAATTAAAACAATATATTTTGAACATTTCATGAAACGAAGTTGCAATGTTATATTGAAAACTTCAACAACTTATAGGAAGAAACCATTGGGGCCAAAATATGTCTTTTATTGAGCATTTGCAGTTGATTCAGAACCTAAAATCTTTTTTTTTTTTGTAAGTCAGGAAAAAATGGACAGGGCGAATCCGAGAAACAACAAATTAAATTGATGTGGCCTAGCGTCCCATACCTGTCCCTCCTGATGTCGTACACCTCCACGGAACAGAGCAGGCCCTGTGGAGAGATCCCGCCGACCACGTAGATCTCCTCCCCGATCACCGCCGCTCCGAACTCACACCGCGCCGTCCCCATAGGGGCAAGTTCACGCCATACCTCGCGCTCAGGGTCATAGGTCAAGGTCGACGCATGAACCTGAATATCAGATGGTAAAATAATAATAGCTTAAAACTGATGAATATCTGAAGGAGGATGCATGATTGTGAATTCAAAAAGCATACTACTACATGTACGGCAGTTAAACAGTCTTACAGGGTACTGTAATTCCTGATTTTTTCACAGTACTTTTATGTTCACAGTTTTTGCAGTCACAGTATAGCACAAACTTATCATGACCGTTAACCAAAAAAATGAATTAACGACTTTCTTTTTTCTACACCTACCGGCACCGTGACCATATACATTGTACATGTAGTTCAGATCTGTAACTACCTTCATTTTTCTCCGACCGCGAACTTTTGCTACCACAAAGTTAACATAAACTTTAAGTGAATTACAGTTATTTGTGTTAAGTTAACTAGACGTTTCTTCTCATATACAAGCAAGTACTAGTGTTATCGTCCTTAAGTAGTTAGGACAAGTGATCGAGAGATCATGGGTTTGATTCCTGCCTTGAAATTTTGTCCTCAGGAATGGCACTCCACACATTGTGTAGGAATACTAGGTTTACAACGTAAATGAATCTGTATCTGTATTAAGCCGGTATAACCGCCCTTCGGTGTAACACACCAGCTTCGCAGGCACGCGGCGCGGCGGCAGCTAGCTATATCACGCCAAACGACTTGCTATACTCAACCTTTGCACATTTGATTGTAGGAGGAGAGGAATGGGCTCCCATCTCCCACATACAGTAACACAGTCGTTACTGTACGTGCCCTAAACATAATGTATAAACAACCTCTAGCTATACACAACGAAGATAGTTTTAGCTGCCTTTGTATTTGTACTAGTAGTCAGTATTCACACTCTGGTTATGTGATAGCAGATATTATAGATCGCATACTTCTAATTCAACACAGAAATTGATAAAAAGAACAGAGACAAAAGGCCCACCAATTTGATTTGTTGGTTCTTGGATTTGCCTCTTCATTTTTTCCTGAATGCCCCCCAGAAAAGATTCTGATTCTGAATCAACTCAAATATGCTCATATTTTGCCACCAACAGTTGAGGAAAGTCCTTTTCTTCCTAGTTGTTACAGTTTTTCCATCTATCAATGCAGTGGTTTGATTAAGTTCAAAATTCATTGTTAAAAAATTATTAACCCAGCCTTTTGTGTTGACTTCATGGCTAACATTGTAGCATTTGTGGCTGTAATAGGATGCCTTAGAGCTGTTTTTATTTTTTTTTTCGCCCTGTTGCTTCATATTTTTTCTTAAAACATCCGAGAACCAACAAATTAAATTGGTGTGGCCTAATGTACAATTGTAAGTATGATATATACATGTACATGTACCTGGTCCTTTTCATCTGTCCCACCCAGTACATATATCCTGTCTCGAGCTGAGACGACTGCATGGGAACACAGTCTACATGGCATCGGGATCACATACTCCCAGCTGTACAAACAAACAAACAAACAAACAAACATGCAACTTAGAGGGAGAAAATTACAAAACACACTATTGGTATAATTGAACAAACTGTGAAATACTGACCATTGTCAAATAATATTGAAGGCTCACCAATTTAATTTCATGGTTAATGGATTTTTCTAGAAAAACAATGAAGCGGGCAGGCGAAAAAATAAAAAAATAAAAACAGGCCAAGGCATCCTATTAATTTGTATTATGGCCCCAAATGGTACGATAGGAGCCATGAAGTCAACACACCAGGCTGGTTCAAAATTTAAACAATGAATTTTGAACTCTTAATGATACCACTGCATTGAAAAATGGAATATCTGTAACAACTAGGAAAAAAAGGACTGTTTTCAACTGTTGAGGGCAAAATATGAGCATACTGCACTTGATTCTGAATTATTATTTTTTTTTTGCAAATCAGAAAAAAATGAAGCGGGTAAATCCGTTAACCAAGAAATTAAATTGGTGTGGCCTACATGTAAGCATGCTACCTGAATTCCATATAGAGTAAACAAAATATCTATGCCTCAGATATATGATTGTTGTGTTTAGTTTGTTACTAATGCTCAGCAAAAGGTTCCAGACCTGTCGTTCTGTATGCTGTACGCCTCTACAGTGGAGGTACACTTGGCGTATGTGAAGTGAGCTCGCCCGCCGACCGCGTAGATCTTTCCTCCTGCACATCCCATAGAGAACATACAGCGTGCTGTGGACATCCTACAGGAGAGAACATAACAGGGGAAACAGAACAAGTATTCAGTCTTTCAGCTGATAACATTCTAATTGCCTTAACAGGCCCCAAAATTCATTTTTGGGAATAGAATGCACTTAAAAAATTAGGTGCACAAATAATTTTTGTGTGCACCATATAAAAATATATTAAGTAGACTCAAGGACTAAATTTATTTGTTTCATTTGTAATGAAAAGTACTAAATGTAACAACAATGGTTTTATTATTTTTCTGACACTTAGATGTTAGGAATATGCTGTATACAACAGTGACTAATATTATCAACATCTTTACATAAACCTACAAATGTTTGGGTGCACTGGTGCACCCACAGAAAAAAAAAAATTGGGTGCACAGCTCCAGCTCCAAATTTGTATGCACTAAGGTGCACATGCACCCAGTGCTTAAAATACATGTATTATACAATGCCAGCGCAATGGCCAAGTGGTTACAGAGTGTTCAGTAGGTTATGAGTTCAACACTGAGCCTAGTCATAGCAAAATTGTACATACATGTACTACATAGCTACTTTCTATGCCTAGCACTCAGCATTTGGGAAAGAGTGCGGTAGTTAAACATTAAAACATAAAAACATTTATTTAGCACCTTTTCCTCTCCATCCAAGCCCCTTCCTGTGGATTGTAGACATGGAAGTCAGATTCACAGTGAGTCTGTTCCCGGCGCGACCCTCCCGGTCTCACGTTCACCCCGCCCGCCACGAACACCTCGTTATCCGGCGTACAAATCGCGGCGTTGTTGTGGCACTTCCGTCTCGTCATTTCGCCACCCTCATCGCAACGCCCCAGGTAGAACTTGTGCTGAACAGGGTTGAAGTACGTCGGAGGATTTCGCCCATCGATGAAACACAACAATTCTTCAACATACATACCGAATCTTACTGCAGTGTTGAGTTCAATGTGAATATTGTTAGTGGCCGTATATGTATGTTCTGCAAATGGTAACATGTTCCACAATGTTAGATCTTCATTCGGAGGGTCTTGGTCAGTCCCTGAGATGTCAGCACCTTCAATATTATCATTTTCGCAAACATCTGTGTCTGTATGTTCTAGTTCGAGTCTTTGTTTCTTTTCTTCCACCTTCTTGTGATGCTCTTTGACCTTCAAGATCAGCTGTTGTCCAAGGTCAGTCTCTAGAACCAACTTGTCCTTGGCAATGACCTTTTCAAAGTATTCCGTGGGAATAATGGCCAGACGGACATCTTTGAGTAAATTGCCAAGGTGATGACCCCTAGTAGCAGGGTCATGTCTGACCCAAGCCATGACGCTTTCATACACAGTCTCCTCCTCCTCAACATTCAAACTATCGTCTGACAGAATGTCAATCAAACAGGACAGAGGCAGGTTCACAAACTCCGCCCCCTTACAAACTTCAGGGTACCCGTCAGAGATGCACTCTTTCGCCTTCTTGATTAAGTCTTCGATGTTCAGCCAGCTTCCGAACTGGAAGACGCCACAACAGTTGTTTACTGTTATATGAGACAACATGAACTGTACGCAGGCACTGTAAACACGGGATATACCCAGTATGTTGGCCGTGACCAGTAAGTCTTGAACGTTGTCCTCTGTTATGTACAGTTTGGAGGTGTACATGTACAGGATGATCGTCCCTAGTGCCATGGGGTCAATGTCCTGCAGGGTGATGACCTTTTGTCTGCTCTCCTCCAGGTCATGTGCAAACATTGCCCTGTATAAAGAACAGAGTCACATTAGAAAGGCTGCTGTACTCAGCAACTTATGAAATAAAATCTTAGGCCACAGCAATAAATTTTATGGATCACATCCTCCGCAGACTCCAAATCTAATACCAGCGGGCGAAAAAAAAACAAGGCGGCTCCTACATTTTAAAATTTTGACTGAATCAATGTACAAATGGTTTTGATTCAGTGGGAACATCACATATACACAGCCAGCATCACATATCACTGCATAAAGTAAGAAACAAAACATTAAATCAGACTCTCGATTCAGAGCCTTTTCTTGTCTCCTCTCTTCATATTTATCTTCCATCCACCTTCCGGCATGGTAACAGACATCTTTAACCATTTTCGGGATGGTTATCACTGTCAGAAGGCAACAAAATTTTTATTTTTTTCCAAAATCAGGCAAAAATTAATGTGCGTGATGATGTCACCCATAAAAATTACTTGCTGTGGCCTTAGCAAGAATTGCATGGAGTGTATGGGTATCAAGTGGCTGGTGTGTTACGTACCATGGCACCAAAGGGCAATTTATATATTAAACTTAAGGCTGAATAGTTACATAGCAGAATAGATGTTCTGATATCCCTTAATATGTTCTGATACCCCTATGTTGTGATGCCCCTACGTTCTGACATTAGGCCACAGCAAGTAATTCAAGCAACCCATTCACACCTGGGTGAAGTGAGGAAAGTCGTGTAAAGTGTGTTTCCCAAGGACACAACGTCGCCTCGGGGCACATGTCCAGACATGTCCCGGATACGACTCGGGATCGAACCCGGGTCTCCCCAGTTCATAGTCGAATGCTCTACCACTACGCTATCACGTTTGTACCTGAAGTATGGGCTACTGGCTGCCAGCACGACACGATGACAGGCGAACCTCCATGTCTGCACCCGCAGTGTGACGTCTGTCAGTATCCCATCATCCAACAGCTGCTTCAGACCCTCCAACAGGTCACATGACTGGTGCTGCAGCAGCTCCAGGGTCCTGGTATCCATGGCAACAGCTCAGGGTGATCTAGGCAAACCAACACACATATGAGGGCCTGCATGGGGGGGGGGGGTAGTGGTTTAATGAATTACGTAAAATTTTCATTGCTGATTATAGCTGATTATGAACAGTTAGGTGCTGCAGCAGCTCCAGGGTCCTGGTATCCGCATGGCAATGGCTCAGGGTGATCTAGTAAAACCAAAACACACAAGGGCCTGCATGGGGGTAGTAGTGATTACGAATTACACAAAATTTTCATTGCTGATTATACTAGTAGCTGATTACGAACAGTTACTAGTAGGCATTTACAGCTGATAATCACAGTAACTGATTACAAACTGCAGGATCCTGGTATCCATGGCAATGGCTCAGAGTGATCTAGTAAAACCAACACACACACATGAGGGCCTGCGTGGGGGATATATATAAAGTGATTACAAATTACGTAAAATTTTCATCGCTGATTATAGCTGATTTACGAACAGTCAAGCATTACAGCAAATGTACTGATTATGAACTACTGACACGTTCAATTTGGAGTGACTTCCTACAGATTACAAGGACTAAAAGGTGCCTTACAAAAAAAGGCACACAGGCCCTCACATATGCATGTGACAGCCACAATGAAGTCAGATGAAATGGTAACAGATGCAAGTGACATAGATGTTACATCTAACTTATTATAAGTAGTTTAATCGGTTTAATCTACAGAGCCCTATCAGGTTATTGTCATGCAGGGGAAATACGTTACATAATTGTTAATTTGAGCAACCATATTTACACATATAACGTTATAAGTCAAATATGATTCAATGTTATAAGTTGAGCGAAGCTTTCAGTTGAGCTCACACAGTGTTTATATAGTACGTATAATCATTACAGCCATGCTGTAGCGATGTCAAAAGAATAATGAAACATTTGAGTATTGAATAGACAATGCATATATAACTTGCATGTATGATATAGCGTCACACGCACCAATCTACATTGTACGAATTGTACGCAACTTGAAGTTGTACTCCAGTTGGCGACAACCTATCTCAACGAACAAAGCAACCCACAGAAGGTAGTAAGTCTTCAACAAGACGATTCTTACCTGATTATCGGGCAGTGTTCAGCAGAAAGCAGCCCGCCCGACATTTGAGCTGGGCTATTTTGGGTTGAATGCAGTGGCATCACTTTATTTGGAGCGGTAACATTTTCTGGCTGTCAGAAGTGCGGAAGTTCAGATATGAGACCTGCAATTTTTAAAAACCTCGCAAGGTGGCGCAGTGGTTGTGAAATGCATGATGGGAAGGGTTTTTTTTTTCGATTCCACCGTTCACTTCCGGGTTGTCGAACTGGGCGTCGTGTCACCAAACAGCTTTTCTTGATTTCTTCATTCCATCCAACATTTCTCTTTTCTTCTGTACATCCACGTTATTTTTCAAAACAAACTGATGTGAACTGCCCGTGTTGGAGAGAACTCGCTGCTGCCTAGCTGCTGTGGTAAGTATGGGCGGATTTTCTTTCGAGATGTCTTTGGCCAAAATTGGCTATGGGCTAAAAGCCGGGTACGTCAGAAAATTCTTACCACTACTAAGGGTCAGACAAAGAATGCCAACGTCGTGTCCGGCGTAAGATATCCTTTATAGTCAGAATAATCGTTATCAGTGGGGATAAAGGTGATCAAAATGTTTTCGATGTGCTTCAGATGACTGGGATTTTTTTGTTATGTAACGTTACATGTGGGGATATAACAATAAACAGGTTATTTTGAATGTGGGTCACCCATGCACAACAAAATACTCCGTATGACTATGATAAATTTCCAGGCATGATCTTTAAACCGTCATGTGTAGATTTTAATTGGAAACACTACATGTAGTAGTAGTAGTACCGAACGAAGAGTATATCAATCAATCAATCTTATATGTTATTTGAGCAGCCCTTTAGATGTTCATCTGATCTGGGCTTGGGTTTGATTGACTTTGAATTCTCACTGTAGTACTAGTATATAACGTAAGCCCTTTAATAATACACATTACAAGGCTGCAAGTGGAGAAGAACCCTACAACAGCGACAACATCTGATCATGTCTTATCCATGGCAGCAGGCTTAATTTGATTTTTATTACTTCTCAGTAATAGTAATACTTATGAATCATGTAGAGATGTATGCTACTTCATTTGTCGTTTTTCTTATTTCGAGGACACCTTTACAATGAATGTAGGTGAAGAAAGCTTTAAATACTGTCATGTAATAAATGTCACCCACATCACAATCCTCGTACTTCATGCAGTACTCATTCAGTCAAGTCTTGTTCAGGCTTAGGAAAAAAATGTGTTTCCTGTTTCCCGACCGACCCTAGAGAAAACTGCAGACCCTAGCCTTTTTTTGGGGGGACCCCTGCAAGGGACGAAAATTTTTCGCGCTGATCAACCTTCTCTAGCTCCATGATCTGACACCTGAGTGAAGAAACGTTGTACAATCAGTTTTCCAAGTTCCAACATTGACAAAAAATTGAAAATAGAAGTATGCTCATGCAAGTTTTACTTTGTTAAACTGTATTGTAAATCACTAGAGATCGCGAAAGTTAAAAAAAGAAGAAGAAGAAAAAAAAGATGATCCCTAGATAGACCTACTTAGTACGTATACTGACCTTAATGTTTTCAGGACTGAAACAGGAAACACAACATTTTTTTCCTAGGCCACACTGTCAACACTGTCTGTGCAATTACAACTCTATCCAGCAGGGTATTCCCACCGTTTAACTGTTCTAATTTTCCTCAGGTGTACAAGAGAAGATCTGTCCACCATGGCGCTGATCGAGGGAGTGGATGACGAGATCACGCTGATCGTGGCGGTTCTCGTCATCGCCGTAACGCTCACTGCCGCCTGGTTCTCTACGTACGTCGCCGAGCGGCCCATCCCCACCGACAGGGTCGGCCATCTCCAGACCCTACACGAGAGAATACAAGGCGTCGTCGGGGAAACGGCTACCATGGCAACAGAAGGCAGGACTAGCGATGTGCAAAATGTGCCCCTGAGAGCGGAGAATGTAGCTGGGCATGTGGAGCCACCTGAAGCACCTGCACAGGGGAGTATGGAGAACATACAAGCAGACGAGCAGTCTGGGAACTCTACATCTGACGCTTCCCATGATGCAGTGGAAGGAAACTCACAGGAGGGTAATGACAAATCCCATGATGCCTTGGAAGGGTCCTCTGATCCAGTGCAATCCAGTAGTCCCACAGATCATTCCCAGAATTCCGAGCCCCCAGATGAAACAGAGGCCCCCACAGAAGATGCAAAGACTTGTGAGAACTCGAATTTGCCTACAAACACTACTTCAGACAAAACGGGTGATTCTAAGTCTGCGACTGGTCGCAATGCCTGCACCCGCACCAACAGTGAAACGGGGTCATCCGTGGGTCATGACCCTCTGCTGGGGGCAGGAGTGAGAGGTCAGGAGCAGATTGAGCCAGGGGAGGGGGAAATCGCCATCCGACTAAAGTTCCTCAACGACCAGGAACGAGTTGTGTACGCCAAACCAGAGGAGACAATATCAGAGTTCAGACGGTAGGTCAAGTGTACAATTGCACATGTACGAAACAGTTCAAAGTCAAAGTATCAGTTTTTGTGGTACATTTATTACAATATGCAGGGCTATAGGTGCAATTCCGCACGGTATACAGATTATTGAATTATCAGGGCTTGAATACTTTTTTCAGGTACATGTACATGCAAAATTGAACATTGGCAAAAATTTTTAGGTGCAATTTTAAAAATTAATGTGCAAAATTATATTTAGTCCGGGTCGACAACCGTTTTCAAGCTGGTTTGTGGTATATAATTTCTTTTCCATGTGACTCAGTGGAAGGATCCTGCAAAAATCATGTACTCCCAGTAAGCCCACAATGAATTAAACTGACCTTCCTAGTTTATGTTATTTGCATGATGTTTCAACTTTTAAGAAAAAAACTTAAAAATGCAAAGCTTTGAAACAAGAAGAAAATTATCAAAAGAAAAATTGTTGCATTTCTTGGCATTAGCTAAATAGCTTTCCAGGGCACTGCTAGTAACTCCCCAACCCCTGACCCGCTTTCCACATGTCACAAACAACTTCCTGAAATTAAAAACATTTCATATGGCACATAAAGAAAATTTACCAACATTCTTAGAGCAATAAATTGTTTTTATTTTGCATACTAGTCTTTGTTTCCCTTGACTATCATGCATGATATGACAAAGTAAAATATTCTGCTTGTAAAAATAACGCATGGTTATAAGCTAATATTTGGTTCATTGATTGCAACGCCCCCCTCCCCCTCTAGGTGCAAAATTGCACTTTGGAAATATTTTTTTGTGCAAATCTTGAAAATCATATGTATTTTGCACATTGCACATGGGTATTTCGAACTCTTAATATGCAGGGCCATAGGTGCAAGTCTCCACAGTATCCAGATCATTATTAAAGCACTGAAAAATTTGGGTGCACATGAAATATAGTAAAATATTTGATTGAAAATATGAGCCCAAATTCTACAGAAGTGTAGAAGTTTACTGCAACAAATGTTTTATTGTTATTTTGACACTTAGAAGAGCTAATTTTTTCATTTGTACAGTATTTGTAATTTGAATGGACCAGCAGTAATATTGACATGATGGTCTCTCACAGGCGTTTCTTTCACGAGGAGGTGCAGGCCGACCATCTCGTCCGCTTCATCTACCACGGGCAGGTCCTAGTTGAGAACCACACGCTGTCGTCCTACGGACTCAACAACAACTGTGTGGTTCACTGCCAGGTAACGCACGAGAGCTCGCCTTCACAGAGCACCGTGGAACTCCTGCCCGAGACGGAAGCCCTGGACATCGGGAACTTTGTCACGCCGCTGTTCGGACTAATCGTATCACTGGTATGGTACGTCAAGCTTCAGTACCCACATCTGTTCAATCAGACGACCAGCATAGCCCTGGCGGCGGTGACCTTACTGTTCCTCCTGGGGGTCATAGCCTTGTACCGTACTGACAGGGATGAAGTTCAAGGGTCAAGAGGTCATGGAGGTGAAAGGTTACAGCCTGTCAATGGCCAGGAGTAACAAGAAAACCTGAAGTCTTTTTGAGGTGAAGATTCTTGCAATTTTTATCCACAAGTAGAAATTGTATTGTCAGTTGTAAACTTCTCAACATGGAATCCTACAGCTAGTGATGTAAAGAGACAGTTTCAAGTTATTGCATCACACATTTTTGTTCAATTGTCAAAGAAGAGGAAGAGAATATGGATGTTATTTATTTCTGGATGAACTAAATTCACAAAATATGGTAAAACAGTTAATGGTAGAGTACCTGTTCCTTAGAGAAAATTCTGTCAGACTTGATCAATGTTTTAGTTCAGGTTTTTGTTCGTGGTTCAGTTGTCTGTGTAGGGGATTGTTTGAAAAGTTCACCTGCAATGTATGTCTTAAAAAGAAATCACTTTTACTGTTTTAGACAATTACAGATGTATCCTACATGACTAAAAGGCTTCATGAGAGTGGGTTCACTGCTCTATGGACAATTTGCCATATTTCTCCTTTCCGTAAATAATTTCTTCATCAGGTTGGTAAACGAAATGAATAGCAAAGTTCTTAGATCACAACCATTCATTTTTCATGAGCCGACGTTTTGATGACCGGCTGTCATCTTCATCAGGGCAATTCTGACTGGTTCACTGTGCACTGACGCTAGATGTTACTTGGGCATTGTGCACTAAAGGTGTGACATGGTTCACAGTGCTCTGTTACTTGGTTCACAGTGCACTTGATGTAACTATGCCTAGTATGTATGTCACAATTGCACCACGTTTGGAAATGCATTGTTAGCAGTAAAAACTAGCTTAAGTGCACTGTGAACCAAGTAACAGTGAACTATGTAACACTATGCACCATGTAACATCTAGTGTCAGTGCACAGTAAACCAGTCAGAATTGCCCTGAATCAGATGAAGATGACAGGCAGGCATCAAAACGTCGGCTCGTGAAAAATAAATGGTTGTCATCAAATAACTTTGCTATTCATTTGCCATATTTCTGTATCTGTATACAAAGAACTTTATTGACACAGCATACATGTAGCAAGTATGACTGCCTTTTGTTGTAATGTAACACACATACGGTAACAGCTGGTTACTTTACAGTGTTCGAAATACCTGTCTGCAGTCTGCAATCTGCAGATAGATTTTCAAGATTGCAGAACAAAAATTTATACAATCTGCAATTTTGCAGCAGGAAAAATTGGCACTTGGGATTTGGCACTCGTGGCCCCAAGGACAGAGTTCTGAAACAACAGGAGCTTCTTCACTAATTTGCATCAACCTTGTCTTGAATTGTTTATCTTTTGTTTCCTTTTGGACTTCCAAAAATTTGTCTTCACTAATTTGCATATCAATCAATAGTTCAAGCTTATAAACCTGCAAGATTGTAGTATGGAGGCTTGTGTATTTGCAGAAAGTATTTCCAAATTGCAGAACAAAATTTTGACTCTTCTGCAATATTGCAGAGCACTGACAAAAAGTATTTCGACCACTGCTTTACATCAAATGTCCTGTCACACCTAACCTTTGCACATCTAAGTCCAGGTGTTCACAGCTTTTTATTGAGGATCACACCTTTTTATTGAGGATGCTCCTACTGTACTTGGTAACATGTATTTTTAAATCCTGCTACATTACAAATGCTATAAATTATGTATCTTTGGTAATTTAAAAATGCCACATTTTAGTAGTTTGGACATTACCTGTACTGTAAGGAATGTTAGGCATTTAATTGCACAGCCAAATGAAATTTGTGACTTAATCATTTCCTCCCATATTCTATCAAAACTGTCTTGATTTCATCTCCCAAGGTCTATTTCTGATTGGCTCACACATCTAAAAACAATTACATGTCAGTGTTCGAAATACCTGTCTGCAATCTGCAGATAGATTTTCAAGATTGCAGAAGAAAAATTTATACAATCTGCAATTTTGTAGCAGGAAAAATTGGCACTTGGGATTTGGCACTCTTGGCCCCAAGGACAGACAACACTTATAAGCTCCTGTTCTGAAACAACAGGAGCTTCTTCACTAATTTGCATCAACCTTGTCTTGACTTGTCTATCTTTTGTTTCTTTTTGGACTTTCAAAAATGTGTCTTCACTAATCTGCATATCAATCAATAGTTCAAGCTTATAAACCTGCAAGATTGTAGTATGGAGGCTTGTGTATTTGCAGAAAGTATTTCCAAATTGCAGAACAAAATTTTGACTCTTCTGCAATATTGCAGAGCACTGACAAAAAGTATTTCGACCACTGCATGTAATTAGGGAAAGAACATTTCTATGAAAAGATTTTAATCTCAGACTCAGAGGACCTAGATATCCTCTAAGTTGCTAACCATGACTAAATAAGAAGCTTTTTAGATAGTTAGATTTTCTAGCTTAGTGCAGGTGTAGCAGGCTCAGATGTACCCATGGCCAGAATATACCCGGGTACATTTTGGCCAGGGGTATATTCTGGCCTACTACACTGGTATTAGTACTATTGTGCATTGTTGCACCAGCACTTTGGTACATGAAACTTATAAAGTCCAGGTTGTGAGAGAATACACGAAATGAAACTATGAGAGAGATGAAACGATGAGACAATACTTGAAATGAAACTTGAAATGAAACTTATGAGGTTCAGGTTGTGAGAGAAGTTCTTTTGGGGATATTTAGGTTTATTGCACCAGTTATATTGGCTTGATGTACAAGAACATTGACAAGAAACATTTCAGCCCTCAGTCTCAATTGACAGATTCAAGCCATGTATATTAATTATTGCTGTGGCCAGTTCTAAATAAATGTTTTTTTCGTAATTCCCGTTGACTGAATTTCTGAGTCAAGATGCGAAAGATGTTACATGGTTCACAGTGCACTGTTGTAATTGGTTCACAGTGCACTTAAGCTAGTTTTTACTGTTAACAATTGCATTTCCAAACGTAGTGCAATTGTGACATGCATACTTAGGCATTGATACATCATAGGGACATTGCACTGCAACAGTGCACTGTGAACCATGTAACACCTTTAGTGCACTATGCACTAAGTAACATCTAGTGTCAGTGCACAGCAAGCCAGTCAGAATAATTGCCCTGATGAAGATGACAAACGGTCATATGCGTCGAAACATCGGCTCGTGTAATCAAAGAACTTGGCTATTCATTGATATTTAACAAGTTTGAAAGAAAACTGTGTGGAAATGGCCATGTTCTAAGTCATATAGACCATGGGCTTGGGCCCGTTTACTCGGATAACATTCATGTATGGTTTGGGCTGTTATGATAGAGTATGCTGAAATCCGTCATATTCTATCATTTGGTTGGAATTTGCATAATTTCGGAGGAAATTCTATAAATCAGCTGCATTGCATTATAGAACTTTTTAAGCTTGTAACAAGAGAAACACAGGCAGGTATTGATTATGTAAATTAACATTAAATTTGCATAATTAATGAAAAAACTTAAATTATGGTAACTGCCTGGAATTTCATACATTGTACTTGGGGGATTTGAAAGTTAAGTGAAGTTGAACATCATTAAACATAACTTATTCAAATAAGGACCTCATTTGCATAATTTATGAGGAAATGATAGAATGGCTTTCTTTGTTAAGATAAGGCTGTCTTTTGATGGAGAATATGATCAACTGATATAATTCATGCAAATGAGGATCCTATTTGCATAATCTTTACTTTGTCAGTCATAAAGATTAACATCATTTGGCGAAGGTATGAGATCGTGGAACTCTAGTATTCTTTATTCAATAACATCATAGTTGTTTTTCTAGAAAAGTGATACGCCAACTTCAGTAAAATAATTCTTTCAATCAGTGACTATTAAATCCTAAGGTACCTTAGGATTTAATAGTCACTGATTGAAAGAATCATTTTACTGAACTTGTACTATACGTGACTGATGAATCTCTTCAACGATGATACGCCAACATTTTAAAAGGAAGGTAGCGCAAACTTTGTTTTTCTTCCCCTTTTCCTGAATTACGGTAATGTGAAGATTTCAGTCATATTAACAAATCTCAAAGTCTTCCCTATAGATTAATGAAGCAATATAGGTATAGCAATAAAAGAAAGATCCAACAGAAAATGTAATTTCGCTCAAACTTTAAGTTAGCAGACTATTAGTGTATTATTACTGACTGACATAAAAACTATATATACTGCTTGGGAGGCCAGATAATTTCATTATACAGATGACTTATATAATAATGCTACCTCTTATATTCCTTTTTAGGCCACACCGATTTAATTTGTTGGTTCTAGGATTTTTAAAGAAAAAGAATGAAGCGACAGGGCGAAAAAAATATAAAAACAGGTCTAGATCTAGGCATCTTATTATAGCCCCAAATGCTACAATAGAAGCCATGAAGTCAACACAAAAGGCTGGGTTAATATTCAAACAATGAATTTCTAACTTCAAACCACTTCGTTGATAAATGGAAAAACTAGTACTGTAGGAACTAGGAACTCTCCTCAACTGTTGGGGGCAAAATATGAGCATATTTTATTTGATTCACAACCAAAATATTTGGTTGTGAACCGAGAACCAACAAATTAAATTGGTGTGGCCTTACATATACTCTGGTATATCAGCATTATTGCAGCAGCTAAGTAACTGTTTAGTACTAAGGACTGTGGTATACATCCAAATTTTAGGAATTAAGCTACATCATAGGAATCAAGTTTTTATGTACAAATATATGTAATGTACACACACACACACACACACGCACACACACATATATATATATATATACATGTATAAGAGACAGTGGGAGAGAGGGAGGGGGAGTGAGAGAGAGAGAGAGAGATCAGTATGAGCAGGGTTGTCACCAGGATTTTTTTCACAGTACAGGGGTCAGGTACAGAAGGACAACTTTAGCGGCGCAAGTCGCATTGAGGCGAAAAAAATTGAAACTCGTAACCATCTGAGACACTATTTCTCACTTATCGAGGGACAGATTTTGTGAAGTTATGGTTTTCCCTTTGCTATAGCTTAATTCTACAGTTTTAATTTTTTTTTGCAAGATTTATGAAGGTTCTCACCAAAAGCACCCCTATGCTGGTTCAAAGACAGCATAGGGGTCCAAATCACAGCATAGGGGGCCCCTGTATGCTCGAGTTAAGGAAGCACCATGTGGCGAGGAAAGATGGTTGCAGTGTAGGTAAATTTACTTGGACTAGTCACCACCAACTCTCCACATGGTCCCATAGCGACACCCCACGGGCCTTTAATGTCCGCGATAGTGCGGACAAACTCGCCCTGGCGTGTGAACATGTCTACCCGGTTGTTCTTACTCATAGAATTCGTCACGATAATGCGACCGTAGGAGTCCAGACAAATACCTCTGGGATGAGGCAGTTGGCCCTTAGCCTTTCCATAGGTGCCAAATTCAAATATCTTTACTCCGGATTGATTGTACATCTGGACGGTTTTATACCCATCCGTCAGCAGGATATTTCCTTCGGTATCCCATTTAACTCCCCCGATGCCGTATTCCGTACTCACATTTGAACTCCAAAAACGAGAACCGTTTGGATCAACCATAGTAATTGTATGTTCGTATCCCAGAATAACTTTATTGTTGCGCACGTCCATCGCGCTGACGGAATGGAAGCTGCCCAGGCTTACTTCAAATTTTTTAATGGGCTCTCCGTTCTTACTGTACTGTACGACGTGTCCTTCACTGTAGTACAACCTCCTTTTCCCCAGTACCCAAAGGTAGCCAGGCCCCACGTCCAAAGCAACACTAACAGGGAACATTGTCATATTTTCACCCGGCACGACGGTTGGAAAGAGGCGGAGATAGGTCCCATTCATACTGAAGACCTGGACTCGTTTGTTCTTCAAATCAGTCATATATATCTCATTGTCAGCAGATACGGCAACTCCGTAGTTATATCGGAATTTTCCAGGTCTTTTTCCGTAACCGCCAAACGTGATCTTCTCCGGCATTCTGTCGCCACCTTTTGCCATTAGAGATAAAGAAAATATTTCCTAGACTAAAATCTAAAACATTTATAATTACACGCGCCACTCACCGTCTCTGTTTAAGAGAAGGTTGATATGGGTCCTGATGCATATAGCTTCTTTTACCACCAGAAGAAATAACCTTGCTCATTGTCCAATCAAATTTTACAGCATTGTCTCATGACACAGAGGGACCAAGTTTCAGGGATTGTCTAATTACACAGAAAAGCAAAGTCTTTAAAACATTGTCTAATGGCAGAGCTCGAGGTACCAAGTTCAAGACATTGTCTGGCACAGAGGGACCACATTGTCCAGTGACACAAAGAGACCAAGTTTAAGACATTGTCGGATGACACAGAAGGACCAAGTTCAAGACACTGTCTAATGACACAGAGGAACCAAGTTTAAGACATTGTCTAATGGCACAGAGGGACCACATTGTCCAGTGACACAGAGGGACCAAGTTTAAGACATTGTCTAATGACACAGAGGAACCAAGTCTAAGACATTGTCTAATGACACAGAGGGACCAAGTTTAAGACACTGTCTAATGACACAGAGGGACCAAGTTTAAGACATTGTCTAATGTCACATAGTGACCAAGTTTAAGACATTGTCTAATGACACAGATGGACCAAGTTTAAGACATTGTCTAATGACACAGAGGAACCAAGTCTAAGACATTGTCTAATGACAGAGAGGGACCAAGTCTAAGACATTGTCTAATGACACAGAGGGACCAAGTTTAAGACACTGTCTAATGAAACAGAGGGACCAAGTTTAAGACATTGTCTAATGTCACATAGGGACCAAGTCTAAGACATTGTCTAATCACACAAAGGGACCAAGTTTAAGACATTGTCTAATGTCACAGAGGGACCAAGTTTAAGCGAACGTCTAATGACACAGAGGGACCAAGTTTAAGACTTTGTCTAATGACACAGAGGGACCAAGTTTAAGACATTGTATAATGACACAGAGGGACCAAGTTGAAGACATTGTCTAATGACACAGAGGAACCAAGTCTAAGACATTGTCTAATGACACAGAGGGACCAAGTTTAAGCGAACGTCTAATGACACAGAGGGACCAAGTTTAAGACTTTGTCTAATGACACAGAGGGACCGAGTTTAAGACATTGTCTTATGACTCAGAGGGACCAAGTTTAAAACATTTTCTAATGACAAGTTTAAGACATTGTCTAATGACAGAGGGACCAAGTTTAAGACATTGCCTATGACACAGAGAGACCAAGTTTCAGGGATTGTCTAATGACACAAAGGGACAAAGTTTAAGACATTGTCTAATGACACAGAGGGACCAAGTTTAAGATATTGTCTAATGTCAAAGAGGGACCAAGTTTAAAACATTGTCTAATGACAAGTGTAAGACATTGTCTAATGACAGAGGGACCAAGTTTAAGACATTGTCTAATGACACAAAGGGACCAAGTTTAAGACATTGTCTAATGACACAGAGGGACCAAGTTTAAGACATTGTCTAATGACACAGAGGGACCAAGTTTAAGACATTGTCTAATGACACAGAGAGACCAAGTTTAAGACATTGTGTAATGACACAGAGGGACCAAGGTTAAGACATTGTCTAATGACACAAAGGGACCAAGTTTAAGACATTGTCTAATGACACAGAGGGACCAAGTTTAAGACATTGTCTAATGACACAGAGAGACCAAGTTTAACACATTGTGTAATGACACAGAGGGACCAAGGTTAAGACATTGTCTAATGGCACAGAGGGACCAAGTTTAGACATTTCACAATTGAAAATTCGTGTTAGACTCACTTTTGTCATGTTGGGTGTTGGAGACTTGCTGAAGCTTGTGGATAGAACAACAGCATCCAGTGGTAGTAGTGGCAGCAGTATAGTGGTTAATCAATTATTGTTATTGCAGGCTATCGCAATTGGTTCATGGAAATCATAATAAATCATATGAACCCTGTCTGAATTTGATAGCTGCAGGCCGATGTCAACGTATTTTTGCACCAAATTGTATTGGAATAAGTACAATAAGTAGTAATTGTCTATTTCAAAACTATCCTCGAATTAGAACCTCACCGACAAAGCCACAAATCGATAAAGTCAAACCTTGTGTGTATAAAGCATCCGTTTGTTGTTTCGTCACTCTCAACTAAGGTAGAGTGTGACTTTTTTTAAGTAGCTTTTAACGCAATGCGCTTCGCTCCGGCTTGCGCATAAAGGAAACACAGTTATTTCAAAATTACAAAGTTCCAAGCAAAATTCATTCCGGAATTCCAGTTTAATTCTGGACGTATTCGAGCAACCTTACATCTATAATATCGGTAAAACCATAGGTGAAATGATGTTCAAATATTGCAAAATTCTGAAAACTGGAGCCAGAATTCAATAAAGTTGGGTTTTTCCCCAAGAGAATGGCTGCTACATACATGTATTTCTAACATCACTTTTACCTATAGTTAACGATATTAGGCCATCTAGATGTAAGGTTGCTGATATATGGGAATTAGTCCGGAATTAAACTGGAATTCCGGGATTAAACTGGAAGCTGTTTCAGAAAATGGTGAACAAAAAGCGACAATACTATTTGACAGAGGCGTACCTGTGGTGGGCTGGTGCTAAAGTGTAACCATAGAGAGATCCCGCTGACAATGCACAAGCCAAGGACGGCAGCCGTTTTTATCGCTAGGTAGACCCGGTGGTGACGCGTACATCCTGAAATATTGCAGATTACAATTACTGAAAGATTCTTCCAACAGTGACAAGTTTGAAGGGTAGAGATACTGACCTCCAAACATTCGATGACTATCAGTCCATCTTGTTCACGAAGTGGCCTAGATGGACTGACAGTCATCGAAAATTTGGAGGTCAGTATCTCTACCCTTCAAACTTGTCACTGTTGGAAGAATCTTCTAGTCATTGTATCTATACGTGACAAATGAATCTCTTCAACGATGCAGATTACAAAAATTGAATAGGAAATAAATGAATTGTATTTAAAGGCATCCAAAGCAATTTCAGAGCAGCAAAACTGGAAATATTCTGAATAAGGCAATCTTTATGATATTGACACATACTGCTTCACATTTAGCACATTTCAATTAATATTTTATATTTTGGGTATACCGGTACTTAAAACTGGAGAAAGAAGCCCCAAGATGAGTCTTTTATTTCATGTACCCTAAAAATCAGCCAAGGGCCCTTCCAGTAACCATTTTCCGTCAGAATTTTGGGTATTTTTGCTCAATGAGGGTCAATATACATTGAGATAGCGAAGTTTCAACTTAGGAAGTTGATAAGTGATTCGAAAATTGACTTTGAAAAATCGGGCCCTAAAAACTGCACTGTTTTGTTAAGGAAAAGGTTAGTAGGCGTCCATAACACAACATAAACAAAAATAAGACGAAGCAAAGACAAGGTTGAAAGAATGTTTTTCTTATGCAAACGTTGGATAGATTAGTCTTGTATTAGCATTATTTTTTCATATAGTTATTGCCATATATTGTACCTGGAAGGATTGTTAAGCAGTAAAGATATATACAGACATTTATACAGTGTATAAAGATCGTGGTGCTTCAAGTGTATGGTTTCTATGTTCGTTTGTGTGATACTAAGTTCTTGATGCTGCTAATACTCCTCTTCACAGATGAACAGTACCAAAGATGATGATGATGATGAGGTGGAGGAGAGGGCTTCTATAAGAATATATTTTCTTTGTCCAACATTTTCAATGAATAAATATAAATAAATCAAACCAATAAAGCTCTTACCGCGAGCCTTAGGTTGCTGAACGTTTGGCAAGTTCATCTGATTTGGTACATTCGGGTCATTATTGACGAACGGGTTGTTTGAGACGTCATTGATTCTGTTAGAAGCCATTTGAGTGTCAGCTGGAGCTGTGTTGCACCCCACGTCATCCTGGTCCACGTAGGCGACGGCATACGGCTGAATGTCCTCATCATCAGGGGCTGTATGCCTGTTTTTAGACGCAGAACCACGTGTTGTGTGTAGGTCATTACTGCAACTATCGCCATTTTCTTGATATTTAACGGCGTATGGCTGGATGACGTCACAGTTGACATTCCCGGGCGAGGCGACCTCGTCTCCCTGGTGTCTGTCTGCAGAAGATTGCATGCTGGGATCGTCATCAATATTAGCTGACTCGACAACAGTATCTTCACCTTCCTGGTATTTAACAGCATAGGGCTGGATGACATCACAGTTAGCTGATTCTACGACGGTTCCATCATGTTCCTGGTATGCAACTGCATATGGATGGATGCAGGGATTGTCCTCGTTGTGTTCTGAGATTGTGGTTGAGGCTGTCTCATTATCTTGCTTGAAGCTTGTTAAAGCACGTGGCTGGACGGAATGGTTGGCATCATTGTTAGCTGGCCTGGATGTTTTTGTTACGGCGTTGGAGGGCACGTCTTCAGCCATGGCTCCGGGACCTTTTCTGTTTTTTTTCACTGATCTACCTAATAGTAAGACGAAGACAGAGTGACGCTGCATTCAAATCAGTGACATGAACATATATACATGTACTTACTCTAGGTACGTAATGACAATGCTAAAGTCTGCCACTTTTGTAGTCCTCCCCTCTTACATAACAAGAAAGTGTCATGTTTATTATATGTAGGCGGCGTAGTACATTGCACTTTTCTCTGAATCTCAACAAGGTCTACAAACGTCTTTAAGTAGATTAGAAACTTATGGTAAATCATGGAAGTTGAATGTAAATCTCAAGAAAACTAATTAAAGGTCATTGTTTTTACAAAAGTAGGTCGCCTGCCAAAAGACTGCCATTTCCTTTTTAGTAAGAATGTAGTTAAAATTGTAACAAACTATTGTCTGGGCATTATTGTAAACTCAGCTTGTATATTCAAGGCGAACAACAAATACTTGCACTGCAAAGGTCTGAAGACCCCATTTGGAATTAACCAATCTCTTTGCCAAGCCGATACTACGATTTCTGTAATGAGCAAACTATTTGTTGCCTGTGTAAAACCAATTTTATTGCATGGGTCCAGAATATGGTGATCTTTCAAAAGTCCTAAATCCTCCCCAATTGAAGCCGACCACCTAAAATTCTACAAACAGTCTTTAAATGTGTCCAAATGCTCTTGTAATCTTGCGGTAATGGCCAAATTAGGAAGGTATCACCTTAGATTAGAATACGCCAGAACATACCAGCTGATAGTCTGTCTGCAGACGCCCTATTGTGCCAAATAAATTTAGATGCAGTAGGTGCCAAATGCTGGGCTGCTGGTGTCTGCGAGACATTAGAATGTGGTTTTGCCTATGTCTGGCATTCGTCCTTGTCATCTACCTTTAATTTACCTCAAATTATACCATCCATCTACCAACGTCTTAAGCAATGTATCTCCAATCTTTCATATCAGAAATGCGGAACAACAAAAAATTACGAACATACAGATTACTAACGAATACTTATGCAATAAGATAGAATGATTGGTTATCAGAGCACAGCACATGTAAATAATTTTTAACTGAATCATATATGGCTTATAATGTACACTGTATAGCCAGAAGAAGAAGAAAAAACCCTTGACGTTAGCTTACGTCACTGTCAGACAGAATCAATTCATTTCTATGTAGATGAAGCAGTGCACGTGTCATCTTCTGATACCAGACAATTCATAACTCTCCAAGCAGAGGTTTAGGATTTTTTTCTCGGGTTTTAGGCGTTATCAGGATTTCCTTTTAGGAATAGTTTCTCTTCCTTCCAATGATACTAGTTATCTCTTGCCAAGTTGATACTGTCTTGCTGCCACATAACGTATTGTCCGTAGTAGGGTTGTAGCTGAGTTTTTTCTAGCGATTTATCACATATATGATAATAATAATATCTTGAGTTTGTTTTGTCAAAAATTTTCCAATCCTTCTAAATTAGTTACAAAAATATAGGCATGCCTACATATTTAATGAATTTAACATTCATGTAGTGTATTTTAGGGAAATCGTCACCTTTAAATCACATGCTTTTCAATTTATCTTTGGTACTGTATAAAACAAAACTACTCACTTTTCTGCACAATAAAATGGTTGCTGTGTTTCGTTTATGGTAGAAAGAAAATGACCATATACACCAATCAGTTTCTACTGCTGCTGCTACTGCTTCAAGAAGAAATAAAATATCATCCAAACTAAAATTACTATCCTTAAACGGTTTATGGTGGTCATATTAAATTGAGAAGAAGGATTCAGACATTCTGTACTTACGGAGAGGCTTCTGTGAGCGGCTTGTCTGCAGGGTGAACCGAACTCAATGCACAATAGACAATCAGTACCGGGAGATGGTATAAATATTGAATAAACACATACAGTAGACGTTAGAACCCCACCTAGAAGTCTTCTCTAGTATTGTATAGAAAACATACCAAAAAGTATTAAGTATCAAGAGCGGCATACCACAGGGTAGTGTCCTGGGACCAATTCTGTTTGTAATCTACATAAATGACCTACCCGAGCCAGTGGCTTGTGGAATAAAAATATTTGCAGACGACAGCAAACTGTACAGAACCGTCCAAGACAAGACTGGGAAAGATGCTCTGCAGCAGGATCTCATCACAGTGGGGGAATGGTCTCAAGCATGGCAGTTGCATTTCAACGTCGCTAAGTGCAAAGTACTGCACTTAGGCAGAACGAACCAGAAAAGTAGCTACAGTCTGGGGGGACAAACCATTGAAGAAACGGTGGAGGAGAAAGATCTTGGCGTAACAATTGACAACCAGCTCTCGTTTCACTGCCACACAGCAAAAGCTGCTAACAAAGGAAACCAAGTCTTGGGCTTGATTAAGAGAACCTTCTACAACTTGGATAAAGACACAGTCCCCATACTCTTCAAGACCATGGTACGTCCCCACCTGGAATATGGGAATGTAATCTGGGGCCCCCACTACTCCCTCGATCAGCAGAAAGTAGAGGCAGTACAGAGAAGAGCTACAAAACTGGTTCCTGGGTTCTGGGAACTCCCCTACAGTGAAAGACTAAAAAGACTTAGACTACCGTCCTTGGGGTATAGAAGAAGAAGGGGTGATATGATTCAGGTTTTCAAGTTCCTGACTGGGCAGGAAAGAGTACAGTCAGACCGTTTCTTCGAGTTAGCTAAGGGAACAACAAGAGGCCACAACTTCAAGCTGAAGGTGCCACTGGCCAAGTCAAGAAGTAGACAACATGTTTTCAGTGTGAGGGTCATCAAAGACTGGAACTCGCTGCCGTCGACTGTAGTATCCAGTGATTCTGTCAACCAGTTCAAAACAAGATTGGATCGACACTGGGAGAACCTGAAGTACGAGGAAAGCGACTAGACCAGTCCACAACAGACAGGAAGAAGCCTCACTCGACTGTAGACGGTATCAAGGTATCAAGGTATCAAGTATTGAGCATCGAACTCTCTGAAAATAGCCACATTGTAATTTCGTACGATGTAACAAAAAAAGGTTGGTTATAGAGTACTTCTGAAGATATATTTAAGATGTGTGTAGAGAAGTGTTTTTTAAAAGACGTTTTTCAGGAATCTATGAATTTAAAATTTCCCATGGCGCTATCCTGCCCCTCCCGCAGAGAGTCAAAGTGGACTAGCCCAACTTTTTCTATCTGTAGACGTGGTTGGAGGTTTGGGAGCAGGTAGAATATATATGTATGGTTAACCTGATCGAGCAGGACCTTGCAGTGATTGGTTGCAGAAGGAAGGGGGGGGGTGAAACGGCAAAAAAAAACGAATAAAGGAAAATGACGGTCCGCCTTGATGTTCTACATTGAAATGCGGTGGCAGTTATGATGATAACATGTCATTACGTAATTCCAAAAATTGACTTGTCATCAGTAACACAGCACATACATGTTAAAAATGTTTGCCTGAATCCTATATGGTTTACAATGTACACTGTATGGCTTACTGAAAAACAACTCTTACGTTAGCCAACGTCATTCTCAGACAAAATCAATTCATTTCTATGTAGATGAAGCAGTGCACGTGTCATCTTCTGATACCAGACAATTTATATGTCCGCACTAAGATTAGAAGTACTCTCCAAGCAGAGGTTAAGGCTTTAGGCTTTTTTGTCAGGGCTCTTGTTTTAAAACTGGTTTCTTTTTACCACCTGTATTGGATTACGCTGCACTCCCTAAAATGGCCACATTTTTTGTATTGGTCATAACATGATACGAAAATTGGTTACAACAGTGACATGTTAGATGTGTGAAGAAAAGTGGTTTCGTCAAGAAAACCTGTATTTTTATAAATGTGTTTAATGAATTTAGAATTTTAGACGCTAATCTGTCCCTCCCTTGGGAGGAGTCAAAGTGGCCTGATCCAACTTCTTCGTCTGTGTACGTGGTTGTAGGTTTTAAAGCGAGTAGACAACACATGTATGATGAACCTAGTAGTAATTGAGGTTTTGGAGCTGTTAGACTATACAAGTATGATGTACCTGGTAGTAATTGAGGCTTGCCTGTATACCATACATGTATGATTCATTCTACACCCACGTACTTCTCATCAACGAAGATGGTCTCAAGCTTTGGTTATGCCTGGTGATTTAGAATACAAAGGTACTTTATAGAGTTCCTGGTAGACCCCCAATGTTGTGCCCATGAGAAAGATTCTTTACACCTATTTCGATTATTATCTCAGATGAATGTGAGTACCTAGCTTCGGTTAGAGACTCTCTAGCAAACCTGTTTTTAATGGGATTTGCTTATTGCTGTAGAAGATATGCTAAAATCTAATGCTTGCATGTCGTTTAAAGGGTCAAAAACGGACCATGACAAAATCAGCACTTATGTTCCTTCCTTGTTTTACACATATTTCTATATTCTTTATTCAGTTGTTGTCATCATGGGAACAAGCAATCATTTTGTAGAAAAGTGAACACCAATAATTCTGTATCTGTATCTGCATAACCGGTATATAGCCTAATGTTTCAAGGAAGGTAGGCAGCGCAAACTCTGTTTTTCTTCCTTTTTTCGTGAATTACAGTAATGTAAACTTTACGTTTTTATTCATATTACGTATTATTCATATCTGGTCCCATAAATTTACGTGAAAGTCTTCCTCATAGACTGATGAAAGAAAATAGGTACACCAGTAAGAGAAAGTTCCTGCATAAGAAGGATTTTAAATGAAACTTAGTAGACTATCAGTGTATTAGTGCAGATGGTTTCATTACACAGATTGATTTATATACTATTAACTCTTATATCCTTTTTACAAATACTCTAATATATCAGTATTATAACAGCTAAGTAACTGTTTAGTAGTAAGGCATACACCAAAATGTAAGGAATAAGGCTAGATCAGAGGAATAAACTGTTTTGCATAACACATGGGAGGAAATATTTTTTATTCTTATATCCAAGCAATACATACATACATAGAACATCCATTACATAAAAATTCAAATCATAACAAATTCTTGATCATTACAATACTCATAACAATAATATTCAAATCGTAACAAATCATTAATCATAAACATTGTCATAACAATAGTTCAAATCATTAAAAATCATTGATCATAACAATAACCACAGCAATGATTCAAATCATAACAAATCATTGATCATAACAACTGTCATAACAATAGTTCAAATCAGAAGAAATCATTGATAAAACCATTGTCATAACAATAGTTCAAATAATTATTGATCCTAACAATAATCTTACCAATAATTAAAATCATAACACATCACTGATCATAACAATTATCAAAACAATAGTTCAAATCATAACAAATCATTGATCAAAACCATTTCCATAACAATAGTTCAAATCATAAATCATTGATCACAAACGATTGCCATAACAGTAGTTCAAATCAAAACAAATCATTGAACAAAACCATTGTCACAACAACAGTAAAGTTAAACTAATAGAAAATGAGAATCATGAGTAAAATGATAATAAATTAATTATGCACATAGAAATCCCATTTCCCTCTGTGTCTTCCCTTTCCTTTTTGAAATGAGTCGTTGTGCTTTTTTCAAAGAAAACTATATTTTAATGAAAGATTCCAAACTAAGTCTTTTAAACTCTCGATGTTTGTAAGTTTTATTCATATTAGGTATTATCAATATCTGATCCCATTAAAACACGTGAAGGTCTTCCTAACAGATTAATGAAAGAATATAGGTACACCAGTAAGAGAAAGTTCCAACAGAAGAAGGGTTTTAGATCAAACTTATCAATTTTAGATCAAACTTATAATTCTAATCATACTAAATCATTGATAAAAACCATTGCCATAACAATAGGTCAAATCACAACAAATCATTGATCATAACAATAATCATAGCAATAATTCAAAATATATCCAATCCTTGATAATAACAATAACCATAACAATAATTCAAATCATAGCACATCATTGATCATAACTGTCATAGGAATAATTCAAATCATAACAAATCATTGATTACAACAATAGTTTAAATCATAAAAAATCATTCATAAAAAAACATTGTCATAACAATAGTTCAAATCATAAAAAATCTTTGATCATAAAAAGAATCATAGCAATTAGAAAATTATATATATTTAATGAAAGATTCCAAACTGAATCTTTTAAACTCTCGATGTTTGTAAGTATAAATTTTGGCCAATACAATTATGACATTACTGATAATACAGATGATTTCATCATATAGATTGATTATACAGTATATTTATGGGTTCACCACACCACGAAGTGGTGGTGAACCCATATTGCTTTTTCTGATGTTTCTTCTCCTCCTCCTTCTCCTCCTTCTCCTTCTCCTGCCATTTTTAAATGGATTCAGCTTCTTCATTTTAGGGCCCAAGGTCCTGAAATTTGGTATGGAGGTACAGTGGGCAAATACCCCTAGGCGTTTTTTAAATTATTGTGATATAGGCTTTTAGAATGGTTTTATTTGAGTTTTTTGGCTGTGTTATAGCAAATGTACTACTGTGTTAGTGTGCCTTGTTTACCACGTTTGGGCATGAGTCATCACAATGGAATGCAGGGCATCAACCAATAGGCATGCAGCTTCCTCTATACTTCTTGCTGATTGGCTGTTGGGATTTAACTTGATTAACACCTGCACAGAGCATTTCCACCTGCACAGAGCATTTCTTGCTGATTGGCTGTTGGGATTTAACTTGATTAACACCTGCACAGAGCATTTCCATACTGACAGTATGTCTTTATTCAAGTGTTTTGGTAGGTATTTCAAGCTTTTCTGCTCCAGCATTGGAATGCGGGGCATGTAACGTTTTTTTTTTGTTGAAAATCAACAGTTTGCATTATGCAATTAAAAATCCTAACCAATAAAGTAGGGAATAGCTATCCAACTGTTGTTTTAGTTGTATGTTACTTCTTATTATAGTTATATCAATGTAAATCATTGTTTTCCCTTGTGTTTCTCATTCTTTCCCTGCCATGTCGTAAAATGTGGTGAACCCATCGCTATATTTGCTCCAAAGCAAATATTGGCCTTTCTAGTAACTCTTATATCCTTCTTACATGTACTGCAATATATGAGCATTAAAACAGCTAAGTACACGATGGTCAGATTTGGGCCCAAAAGTCCCACTCCGCTACTATGGAAATCGAATCCCCCGAACCCGCGAATCTTGTTCGATATGACGTCATTCGAATAGAGCGGACGTTCGATCTGGGGTTACCCGCGGTCATTTACAGTAAAGCCGCTACAACCGGCTACTTC